CGTACAGTCGTCCGAAGATGGGCGGAGTGCACGAAGCTGCGGCTAAAATAATTAGCGCGGCCTTCTTATTCTTATCCAGAATAATATTTTGCTTAGATAAGAAAAGGAAAGAAAACACGAGGAGAGACGATATAAAAAAAGATCTCGCACACCGTGTCCTGGACAGGGCACAATCTGAGGCATCAAAAACACCTACCACAGCAAAGCAACATAAACAGACGTTATACATTTACATATAGGTGGTGAAAGCATTGAATTTTTAAGGGAAAGTCGTAGCATAGTCCAGAGCCCCCCCTCAGCCATTGTCCAGATAAGAGGTGACGTTCATCTTCAGCTCAGTTGAGGTTCTGTTACATGTCCACGGCCTTGGGGAAGGGAGGGGTGAGGAAACAGTCAAAGCATCTTTGTTGTTTTCCAAACATTCCAGGAGGAGTTGAGATAAGTCCGGCATCAAGGCCACAGTTTGGGTCAGGCAGAACTCGTGAATTGTTGTTTCTGCCTTTAAAGTCTCGCTGGTACATATTCTCTGATGGAAACTCCAAAACAGCCGAATTGATCCTTTACTCCAAAAGTCGAGCTCACAGCTTCTCCAGATTATTCCCACCATTCATGAGTGCTGCCAGGGAGATCACAGTCCTGATAACAGCTGCTCCAAATCCCTGTCACAGCTCCACATTCAGTCCGAGCACTGTCAAGCTTCAACACCTCCACACGAATTTGTAGACAACCAGATTCCACCAACCCAAACAGTAGACTCTAGTCGTCATCGTGAATCCAATTTGTTTCCTTCGAGGTAAGAGAGTCCTCCTTACCCTGACTCCTGTCGGGAGAAGTTGATCGATTTTGTTGAGAGACCAGCTGATCCTTCCAATTAAGAGGTATGCAGGAAAAAAAAGAGAGGCTTTTTTAAGGGTTCACAGGACAAAAGAGCGCAGCAGGGAAGCGGGTGGGGGGGGGGGGGGGGGGAGAAGGAAAGCACGTCTGGTTTCACCGTAGAGTAGCAAGAAAAAAAAAAATTCATAACTAAGATTCATAACTGACTGTAACTACCGTACCCACCACTGCACCCTGTATTCACTGGTTAACTGGTCATCATTAACTTCACGCAGACTCTCACTGGTACATTTTCATCTTTAAATCACTTCTTGGTCTGCTGCCTTCATACATCTCCTCCTACATGTCTCTGCGTGAGTGCAGCTACAGCGTGCGCTCTCAGGACATTATTACCTGCAGTGTTCCCTCAGTGCGGACTGAACTAGGCAAATGGACCTTCTCCTCCTCCGCTCCTGTTTCCTGGAATATCTTACAAAAAGATCTGAAGCTCTCGACCTTGACCTCTCGAAGTGGCTTCAAACATCTAAGTTTGTGGGAAAAACCAATGCAGACATGTTCCTGTTTTTAAGTTTTCTACACCACCTTATAATCTCGCTGTTTTGTTTTTTTCCAGCTTTTTTTCCTTTTGACTGTCCTTTTGGTTGTCATTTTATTTCAATTTGTAAACAAAACAAAAATTCAATTTGTATGCCTCTTTTATGATTGTCTATTTTTGTCGCTGTTGTCCATTGTTGTCATCATTCTTTGTTGAAATCAGGTCCCTCTTGTAAAGAGGCTCAATGGGATTAACCTGTCTAAATAAAGGTTGAATGAAGGTTATAAATATGCAGTGTTGTCTCATTTCCCTAGCATTTACAGAGCTTCTGGAGCTTTGAGGGGCTAACTTGTATTGTACCTCATTTCTCTCCCTCAGGGAACATTGGTTATATCCATAACCCCCAGTTCCCTTTCAGTCAGTACACTCGGTACAACACAGTAGTATGGGGATCTACCATCATGCCCCGAAAATGCATATGCAGAAAAAACTTTGACAACAAAGCCCTGACAAGTGGGAGGATGCTCATCTCTTCTGTGCTGAAACAACAGCTTAAGTGATGTCACGGGTTGTTATGTCCAAGGTGTAGAATTTTACGAATGTATGCGATGCCCAGTTGGCGGCAAAGCGTATGTCTGCCACTGGGATTCCTTTAAACAATGCCCATGAAGTGGTCATACCTCTGGATGAGTGTGCATGCACACTGCTGGATGCATGTTTACCCTTACTGACAGAAGCTCAAGAAATAGCCTCTACAACCCAGTCAGGGGTACACATAGGTACACATGTGCAACAAAAATCAGGAATGCATAGTATCACCTGTGTTACCACACACCTTTGCATACGTGACCATCAAATTATCAATTAGACCATTAGACCCTTTCACACGTCATCACTTTGATCTGGTTTTAAACTGTACTTTACATAAAAGCATGTAACATAATTTAAATAAATGATTTTTTTCCCTCAGTAGCCTTTAATTGTTGACTTTGACTTCAGCTTCCTCTTGTGTCTGATTTTTTAATTTCTCTAACTTTCTTATGTTGGTAATAAAACTTTTAAATTGTTTATATTCGGGTAATTACAGTCACGAGGACTGGATAGGAACTTTAAATGTCCCCATTAAGACACACAGTAACCCTCGGGTACCATACCATACCATACCAATTTATTTATATAGCACTTTAAACAGTGACAAAACACACCAAAGTGCTGTACAGGGACAAACAGAACAAGTACACAGCAACAGATTACATAACAGGACACCAAAAACGTAGAAACCAACAAAAACAGTAATGGATAACAACAACAACTGCAACATGACCAACACAGTGTGATGCACACAGACTCAACACAGATCACACAGAGCAGAAAGCCAGGGAATAGAAGTGTGTTTTTAAGCGAGATTTAAAAACTGTGAGGGGGGGGGGGGGGGGGCTGTCTAACGAGCAGAGGTAACTCATTCCAAAGTCTTGGGCCTGCTACAGAGAAGGCCCTGTCAGCTCTGCGCTTGAGACGGGTTCCTGGGACTGTTAGGAGCAACTGGTCTGCTGATCTGAGAGAACATGGTGGGACATACGGCTGGAGCAGATCAGTAAGATAGGAGGGGGCAGAGCTGTTTAGTGATTTATAGACATACAAGATTTTGAATTTGATTCGAAGGTGAACCGGAAGCCAGTGTAGGGAGGCCAAAACAGGAGTAATGTGCTCTCTTTTGCTTGTGCTGGTCAAAAACCGGGCTGCTGCATTTTGGACCAGTTGAAGTCTAGCTATGGAGGTCTGACTGATACCAAAAAGGAGTGAGTTGCAATAGTCAAGCCTGGATGTAATGAATGCATGAATTACTGTCTCCAGGTTATTTTTGGACAATATGGGCTTCAGCTTAGACAGTCGCCTCAGCTGGAAAAAGCAGGATTTAACAATCATATTTACATGATTGTTGAGTTTCAGAGAAGGGTCAAGTATCACTCCTAGATTAGTGACTCTTTGTTTCACTAACGGTGACAGAACGGATAGGTCGATGCAGTGGTTGGTGATTGTGTCATTGGGAGGAAACAGCATAACTTCAGATTTCTTCTCGTTGAAACTCAAGAAATTTGAAGCCATCCAATCTCTGATGTCAGCCAGGCAGTCCAGTAACGGTTGAATAGAGCGAGTACCGTTGAGTCTGAGGGGGAAGTAGATTTGGCAGTCGTCGGCGTAGAAATGAAAAGTTATGTTATGTTTCCTGAAAATAGCACCTAGTGGCAGCAGGTATAAAGAAAATAAAAGAGGACCAAGGATGGAACCTTGCGGTACCCCCCATTTAAGCGCTGCCGAGGCTGAACTAAAATCTTTGATGGAGACACAAAAGGACCTGTCAGCGAGGTAAGATCTAAACCATTCGAGGGCTGACCCAGTGATGCCCACCCACTGCTCTAACCTCGCAATGAGGATCTCGTGGTCGATTGTATCAAAGGCAGATGTGAGGTCCAGTAAGAGAAGGAGCACAGAGGTAGCATTTTATATAAGATTCTGCCAAACTGTAAATGATTAACGGTAAAACAGCAACACAGCAGACAACTTCTGCTTATTTTTTTTTTTTAAACCACTTTCAGGTACACAGTAAAGTGTGTTCTCGGCTGAACAAAACTCAACACATCTGTGAACCTTTTTGTGTTGCAATGTAGAGAAATGAGTAAACCGACATTCACAACTACAACAACCTAAAAATGTTACATAAGTTCTAGATGTTTTTTCTCTTTTTTTCTTTGGTTAGTTTGAGTTTGAGCTGCAGCAGATGTGTGTGTGTGTGTGTGTGTGTTTATTCTAATCTGATCAAGTTAAGTCAAGCAGCAGGGTTTGACAGGAAGTCAGCATACATTTCATTTTTACTTGGAATAAAAGAAAAGATGAAAAGATTTTAATGAAGCATTTAGGTCTTACCGTGTGAAAATCTTTATGCATACTTTCCTATGGCTGCTGCACTGTGTGGCTGTATCATGTATACCACTACCTTGGGATCAATAAAGTTCTATCTTATCTTATCTTACCATCATAATTCAATTAATCTCAATGTTACTCACTACCTGTGCAATAACCTGTCACACAGCCCCTGTAGTATTATGTTATGCGCATTATGTGCATTTAAGCTGGTATTACTACCTGTGAAATACAAATTCATCCTACTTGCACCATTATATTCTACCATGTTGTTGTTTACTATATTTCTTTTGGACCTTGTTAATATTAAATGTGTTTATTTTTCAATTTTTGCTAATTCATTTTGTACTTTTATTGCTTTAGTTTTTTGTTTGTTTGTTTGTGAGTCAAGGTTCTTCTCATCCTGAACATTTCATTGCATCGTTGACCTTGTGTGAACCTGCATAGGACAAATAAAACCTAATTATTTCATAGAAGAATTAAATGCTTTAGGCACGAAAAGGTAAAAAATCTTTACTTTTTAAGCAGTATCTCCAAAACGAAGTAAATTGCATTCTGGCATTTTGCTACATTTTGCAGAAAAGTTCCGTTTTGTTCCAATTGTTTCTCTCCAACAGTTCTTGTTCAAACCTGCAGAAACCAGGTTAACGCCCTCCCGTGGACCTTTATTGTGAAAGTAATGAAAGCGGAAGTGCTTTATTCTAGTGTCGCTCTGCTTTCGCTGTGAAGAAACTTCTGCTTGAAGGATGTCTGCAAAGAAAGGGGACACTTTGTGCGTCTTTATCAATGGAAAAAAGGTATTGAAAAGATTTAAAAATGTTCAAATGACTGCTAGCTCCGAGCGTTAGCTTTAGCCACTTTTGACTAGATTTTGTTTGTTTTTTTAGCTCCGTGCGTCTGAATTTTCAGGCTCCAGCTGAGGTTTCCTCCAGCCTTACTCGAGATAAAAGTTTAGTTTTGATCAGAGACACAGTCTAATATCGATGTGGGGAAAATACAAAGCGAGGCATATTTATTAAAAAACATAAACTGCCATTTGTTATCTGTCAGATTCTGTCACGGAAATACGTCATTTGTTTGTCCAAAATAAAAGCCCAGCTGCCCCAAACTCATTTAAATTTGTGGTTTGAGTCAAAACAGCCAAAGTTTTCAGTCTGTGGCCTCATGTGGCCCTCAGTAGATTGGCTCAAAAGAGGTGCATATCACCTGCTGTCTTTTATGACCAACTTTATTACTGAGATCGTCTTTTGATAAGAAGGGACACACATCTGTGCAGTCTCATTGTGAGCTGCAGAGTATATCAAGTTCAAGGTTCATTATTGTCACTCAGATGTGGTACATGAGGTGGAACAAAAGTGTGTACACAGGGTCCCAGTTACATCCAACAATAGCAAAAATATAAAATGTAAAAAAAAAAAACAGTAGTAAGGATCTAAGATATAAACTAAGAAATACACTAAACTAAGAAATGCACCAAACACTTAATAGTGCAAAACAATACGCCGAACAACAAATATGAGTAGTATGCTCATCCACTACCAGCAAAAACACTAACTCGATATTCTGTAAAATTCCTTCCTGCCAGCCATCCATCCATTATCTCTACTCACTTCTTCCTTTACATTGGTACACATATCCAGTAGTCACTGTGCGAGAGGCGGGGTACACCCTGGACAGGCCACAAGTTCATCACAGTATCTGTAAAATAGATAACGCTATAATTGTCACGATAAATGTATAAATGTCACGATAACAAATTTTGCTGGGCGATTAATTGTCTCAGAAATTATTGCGATAAACGATAATATTGTTTGAAATTTAACAATAATTAGTAATTGTCAAATTTTTGAAGAAATGTTGATTTGTTTGGAGTGTAGTACCTTTTTTGACCACCGGATGGCAGTGTAAGACTGTTTGAACCGAAGAATGGATAGTTGAGCAGTTTGTCTCTTTAAGAAAAATGGGAGGGAGGCCCCTTGACGCAGTGTTTCCTCTACCATTATACAAGCGGAGCGCACCACCCCGTCAACAGAACCAAGTGTCCCATCTACCAACAACCCCCCCCCCCCCCCCCCCAAATCACCTGTCAACGCTAAACTAGCAGCTCGCAATGCAGGTGCACTATCTAAAAAGCTAAAAGCTAAAGGCAGCCTATTCCCTCATGTTGAACCCTCACGCTGACACCACCCCCACTCGAAAACTGTCGGTGCAAACAGCGTGTGGCTTTGTCTTTGTCCCCCCCCCCCCCCCCCAAAAAAAAAGGCAGCTCAGGACGTGTCTCTGTCCGTCGTCAATAAATACAGCTAGTGTCACAATGCGGTTAGAGTGTGTATGCCTGTTTAAAGAAGTGAGTTTTGCTGCAGGATTTAAAAATGATGTTGCCAAGAGGATGTAGGTAGATGATTAAAAAGTAGAGGGCCGAGGACAAAACCTTGTGGAACACCAGAACAGAGAGGAGATAGATGAGAGGTCAATTAATTTAATTGAACAAACTGTGCACTATAGCATCCTGATGCATTCTTAGTAATCTAGGTAGATAAATCTAATAAGGTTAAGTCAGGTCCTCTGGACGGATTCTTCTTTGTTAGTGCACTAACAATCAATTGTTAGTCTGATGGTCCTTCTTTTAACATGTGAACAGCTTGTTCTGGATATCACCAGTAAACTGGTTGATCCACTATGAGAAGGTGCTATTTATAAGACTTGAGTTGGTTGCAGCGCCTTAGTCTGAAAAAGTATTTTGGATAAAAGACAAAACTTTTCAACAAAGAAGAATCTATCCAGAGGACCTGACTTAACCTTGTTAGATGCGCACTATAGCCATTTTCATGTTGACTTGTGTTGATAGCAGCAATCTTAACTTGGGGTGATCAGTTGTAGATGTTTTATTTAAGTCTGCCATCCAGTGCTTAATTTGAGCCGGATCCTGCCGGAACAGGATCCGGGAACACTCTACAGAGTGCGTTCCGGCAACTGTTTGTATGGATCCGGCAACTCTCAGGCTTACTAATAATAAAGTTATGAACAAATGTGACTGCCTTAAACGAATGAAACTTCAACTGAAAATAATTACATAAACACTCATTTTAAACACAACAAACGACACATCACAACTTCTTAATGTCACATACGATCATCTGCCCCTTTTAAGTGAAGCATTTCCGCCTCTACACTTATAACAAAACTCTGCCCTTAAAAGATAGGTGGAGTGAGTGCCTGGAGGTTTCACATGTGGAGTCGGACAATAGATTCAGCAGAGAAGAGTCGGCTCAGGACAGTCAAGTAAGGGGGAGGGGGGGTTAGGATGCAAGCGTTTATAAATGTAGGTAAATGTAGTTTTTTTAACAACCTGTTAAAATCCAGCAAAATGCAGGAAATCACATCTACTTTATTCAAAGTTTTCTGGGTAGGACCCCCAGATCCCCCACCCCCACTAGCCCACCCGCTATTTGCATTCCGACATCAATCTGTTTACAAATTAAGCCCTGCTGCCATCTGACCAAACCTTCACTCACGCACATTAAAGACATATGCGTCGTGTTTTTTTTTAGGCTAAACTTACATGTGAGATTAAAAACGTTAATGTGCTCTGATTATTTGAGCAAATGCAAGTTAATCCTAAAACCCTGCACATAATTTAGGGTTAAAGAAGAGAAGAACTCTATTTATCCCACAGGAAATTGTGGAAGAGATAAGTTCAAAATTGTCTTTTGTTTAAACAGGTGACGGAGGAGCATGCAGACCCTGAGACCATGCTGTTGTCCTTCCTCAGAGAGAGGCGTATCCTTTAGACCAAAATCCGTCTTTCAAATCAAATCATTTTATGTTCCTAATGACGGTTTTATTCCTGAATTCTATTCCAGTCAGGCTAACTGGAACCAAGTCCGGTTGTGGGGGTGGAGGATGTGGGGCGTGCACTGTGATGGTGTCACGCTACCAACCTGCCACCAGAACCATTGTGTATCCTTTCCGAGGTCTCCTCTGGCCCTGCTGTTTCTCTTAAAACTGTTACAGTTCACACTGAACAAATGTGCTCAATGTACCCAATAGCCTACTACTATTCAGTTTACTTTAGTTTAGCTTGTTAAACCTGCTGGCTTATAAGGAAAAGTAATTAAATGTGCCGCTAAGTCACTCTTGAGTGCACAATCCCCCATTTGTAGTTCACATCTGAACTTTTAATTTTAACTACATTTGATATAAATCTGTTAAACCTCAGTAGTTGAGTTAATGCTGACTCGGTATTGTTTTCCTGTTGGTGTTACTTTGTGCATGTTTTTCGGCATCAAATATCTTCTGTTAACGTTTTGTTATTTCAGCCGTTCACATACCAAAACGTTCAGCTCTGACATTTAGTTTTTGTAACTTTTAAACATTTCAAAAATATTAACCAAAAAAAAAAAAAAACGGAATAAAATACATTCAGATACCTTCAAACGTTTTTTGCAATCCATGTCAGCAAACTTCAGCCAATGCTAATTCTGCTACTGCTTATACTACTTTTGCTACTGCTTATACTGCTATGCTAATTCTACCACTGCTACTTTTGCTGCTGCTTGTACTAGGGCTTTAACAGACTACTTGAGTAATCTACACATTGATTCCTAGGACATCTATAGAGTTTTTAAATTTCACATCGAGTATTCGTAGTGACGTCATTACATCACCATTACATCATTGCGTCATGTGATCCACATTGGGCGCGGGCAGCTACAAAATGGATTCCTCCAAGCAGACGGATGGAGCGGAGCAGGCCCAGTCTTGGCAAACGGGTAGAAATGCATCAATAGTCTGGAAATATTTCACCAAAGATTAATCTTCCGGTTCAACTACCATAAGGAAACAGAAAATGAATCAACTTCCTGACTGTTTGGAGCTCGTTGCGAACCGGTGTTACACCATATTCTGTGGCCACCATATATTGTAACCGTAGAGGGCGGTGTTGAATGCACTGTTGCAGGTCACAGAATATGGTGTAACACCGGGTCCAATCGACCGAACCAGAACCAGCTTCCTCTGACCTTGTTTAACAAACAAAAAGCAAAAAACATTAATCTCTAAACCGATAAAAAAAAACTATAAACATATTAATCTCTAAAACTAAACCTAATGCGCAACACTGCAGGCGGTGGTGAGGGGTTTTTACTGTTTTTAGTTTCGTTTTTGACGTGCTGCACGTTTCTTTCACTTTTGCAGCTTAATAATAATAACTAATAGTTTTGGTTTTCCTGTGACTTCTTTGCAGTATGATAAATGGTAGGAGCATAATATACGCTTCCAATGTTTTGTTGGTCTTTTTTTTTTTTTTGTAAATAATAAATGACGTTTTTTTTGCGGTTTTATTTATTTATTTTTGCATCTTGAGATCCTATGACGTCATCAACTACTCGAGTTCTACTCAAGTTTTATTATGTTAATGTCGAGTTAAAAAAATGTTGTAGTCGTTCAACCCCTAGCTTGTACTGCTAACGCTAATTCCGCTTCTGCGTAAATTACAGTACTGCAGCTAATACTAATTCTGCTACTGCTTGTACTACTTCTGCTAATACTAGCTCTGTTACTGCTTATATTACTATGCTAATGCTAAGTCCGCTGCTGCTGCTTGTACTACAACATATGCTAATTTTAATTTGCTTCTGGCTATACAACTACTGCTAATTCCGCTAATGCAAATTCTGTTATTGCTCATTTTAGTTAAGCTAACATTCTCCTAATTTTAGCTATCATTTTAATGATTTTAACAAGTCTTCTGCTACTTTTGGGTTTTAGCTAGCCTTTTTCTACATTTAGCTTTTACCTAACATTTTAGTTGTTTAGCTAAAATTCAGCTTTTTTTAAAATCTTTTAGTGACTGTTTACGATACTTAGCTAACATTTTGTGACTTTTAGCTTTTAGTTAGCGTTTAGCTAGTGTTTTGCTATTTGACTTACAGCTAAATTTCAGCTTCTTGAGCAGATTTCAGCCGACATTCAGAGCCTTGTCGCTGGATTTTCACAGAGATTGTAGTTGTCTGTGAAATTGACAGATACCAAACTATTAGACAAACAGACAGTGCCTCTGGTGCTGGACAGAGGTCAGTCTGCTGTTTGCGGTTTGTCTGTCTGTTGGTATGACTCAGCAAAACTTACATGCATTATTTGATTTAGTTAAAAAGCTATTTTTAAGGTTTAGTTGCAGATTTTGTTATGAACCGATTAGTGACACTGATAAACTTTGAATATTTTGCCATCAACGTAAACTTCTAGTTTTAGTGCAAAACAATTTAATAAACTGAAGACCTAGCACTTCCTGAAGGAATGCAAATTGCACACCAAATCTCATGACAGAGATTAAATTCAAGATGGCCAAATGGGTTGAGTCATAGCCATTTGTGTGTTTTCTAAGGTTGATTAGCTCTGGCGGTCATCTTAGAGGAGATTGACTCCAGATGTCAGTCAGTTGTAGATGTGTACAAAATGATTGTTTTCTAAAAGTGTCATTAAATTCATGAGATATGGATCAAAGAAACGAAACGCCCACATACAGACATGGGCAAAAAAAACATTTATATGTCCTCAGAGTTTATTAAAAGACAAAATAGTGGAACTGCTCACTACAGCTGAGATGGACCAATTCCAGATGTTGAACATTTGAGTTGGATTTTCTCCACTTGGAGATAAAACTGGAAACACATTTCCTTCTGTTGCTAGCTTTGGATGGCTTGGAGTAAACGGGGACGCAGCAACCGGTGCTGTAGCAGTGCCAAAAAGTTTATTTTATTTTATTTTTTTACGTTTTGGTCAAAAGCCGTGTGTGAGAGAGTTCAGTTTCCCTTCACTGCCCCATCAGGCATTTCTCAGCCAACGCCTGCTTAATGCCGCTCTGTCAGCTCCACGGAGCTGCCGTCACCACGGTGGAGGGCATCGGGAGCTCCAAGACCAGGATCCATCCCGTTCAGGTCAGTGAACCTCGTTTTTTTGCCTTGTCGTTGTTCCCAGTTGTGCCACCAGAAGCACATTTTTACCTATTGCAGTTTTAAAAATCACAGGTTTTCTTTATGTCAATTTTGAGCAAAGTTCATTTTTAGTGGAGCATCAAAGTGAAGTTGGCACGATCCATGCAACAAGAAAATCAAGGCAGAAAAAAAGCTTTTCTCAGACTTTAATGTTCATTATCCATCCATCCATTATCTTCCGCTTGTTCCAAATGTACATTAATAGTCTTAAATAGGATTTATTGTCTTAAAAGCAAAAACTGAACATTACGAGTAAAGATCAAAGCTCATGCTCAATAATCCAAGTAGAAAATCCAACAAAGTTGAGTCATCACCAGCAAACTGGTTGGTCCACTATGTAGGGTTACTTCTTATGAGACTCAGTTTGTTTGTGGCTCCTTGGACTGATGAAGTCCTTTGGATGAAGGGCAAAACGTCTCAACAAAAAAAAGAAAATGTCCAGATGACCTGATAGAGCTTTGTTGGATTTTCTACCTGGATTATTGAGCATGAACTTTGATGTTTTGAACCACTTTGGCTATGGCTGCCTCAGAGGAGTCGACGGGGGAGAGGGCGGGCCCCAGAAACCATCTTATCACCAGCAAACTGGTTGGTCCACTATATGGGTTTGCTGCTTGTGGGACGTAGTTTGTTGTGGCTCCTCGGACTGATGAAGTCCTTCGGATGAAGGATGAAACATCTCAACAACAACAAATAAAGAAACTGTCCATATGACCTGACTGAACTTTGTTGGATTAAGAGTAAATTTTTGCGGTTAGTGAGGCAGAATAAATATTAAGTCACTTTTTAAACCTAAAATAAGATGCAAATAAAATGATCTAATAAAAAAACAAAAATTGTACATGATTGCGCAATTAAACTATAAATACACAGTATTTATAAGAAATCAGGTCTCTCTTGTACAAAGTAAATGAGTCCCTGAAGCTCAATGGGATTAACGTGTATAAATAAAGGTTGAATGAATGAATGCCTTGAACCACTTTGGCTGTGGCTGCCTGCCTGGGAGGAGTCGACGAGGGACATGACGGCCCCCAGAAACCATCTTAGCTCCAGCAAACTGGTTGGTCCACTTAAGGAGTTTACTGCTTGGTGGGGAAACAGTTTACTGGAACTCCTCTGACTGATGAAGCCCTCCGGATAGAGGGCGAAACGTCTCTATAAAAAAGAAACTGTCCAGATGACCCAACTGAGAATTATTGGATTTGGTACCTGGATGATTGAGCATGAACTTTGTTGCATTGAATGAATTAATTTTTGCAAACATACTGTCAATGCTGAGTTTTGAATAACTAATAAAATTAGTTTAAAAAGCTGTGATTAGGTTGTTAAAGCTAATAGAAGCAGAACACTATTTGAAAAGTAATAAAAACTGAAGGCTTTTTTTTTTTTGTTTGTTTGCTAAACTAACAAAGAACTAATTAAAAGCTAAATGCACCACATCATCACCACAAATCAAAAGACTTGCTAAAGGTAGCAGAATGGTAGCTAAACTAAGAGTAGCTAAATGCTAGCTCAAAGCTAAAAATAGCATAAGACAACAGCAGTGCCAGCCAGAAGCAGATTTTAAAGATACCCATGTTTTTGAAGGAATTAAATTTTATATATGTATTTCAATGGATAAATAAGCATGAACGTTATGAAAAACAAAAGTCTCCCGAATGAGCTAAATGTTTTGATATATGAACCACTAAAACAGCACAAAGTCTGCACAAGTATTTAGACTGTCGAAAAAAAACAGACAACTAAAAATGGGACAACAGTGCGTGCTGACTCATACTATCACTACTATTTCACAGCTCCTGTGCTGCTAATTAAAGTACTGGTGAAACAATAAGACAATCTTATTAAAAGACTTGCTAAAGGTAGCAGAATGGTAGCTAAACTTAGAGTAGCTAAAGGCTAGCTCCAAGCTAAATGCAGCATAAGAAGATGACAGCAGAGCCAGAAACAGATTTTAAAGAGGACCAATAAAACACCTTTGGACCACAGCTATCTCATGTGTTCATTGGATCATCTTACTTGTTTTACCCTCCTTCATTACTGAGGTGGTAAAGTCTATTTCTACTTCAGCTTTTTCTCTCGTCTTGAGCACTGTGTGGGCATCAGGGGTGTCGCCCTCAATTGGTTTTGGTCGTATTTAACCAGTAGGAGCTTCTGCGTAAAAATGGACAATTTTATGTCTTCCACTGCTCCTCTTCCACATGGTGTCCCCCAGGGCTCAATCCTTGGCCCTCTTTTATTTGCTCTTTACTTACTCCCCTCGGCTCTATTTTCAGGAAACATGGCATTTCATTTCACTTCTATGCTGATGATCTGTTTTCCCATGGCACAAAACGACACATTCCAGCAACTTACACACTGCTTTAATGATGTTAAGGCATGGTTTTCCCTTAACTTCCTTAAGCCCCCAGTATACTCCCGCGTATGTCCATACGCGGAGGTACGAATGTACGTACGCGGAGATACGAGCGTACCCCCCAGGGCATGTCTGTGCAAAGCTCAATTTTTTACGATCGCATACGCGTATGCGGTGTCGCACAATAAACTGCCTAGCGACGGACTGTTTTGTATGCAACACCAATGTATTAAATCCCTCTTCTTCATCCCTGATCTGGCCTTTTCTTTAGTATTTTTTGCCAAGAGGCAGTGATCTCTTCCTCCTCCGTTGATGCCATGACTGAAATGGTGAGAAATGAAAGAATTTGTCATGAACGAATTAAACTCAGGTCCAGAATGGCTGCAGGAGGGTCGGGAGATTTCCTGGTGGGCTGATCTGAAGTGTGGGGTGCAGAGCCAGCGCTCCCTGTTTTTTTTTTTTTTTTTTTAAGAACTTTTTATTAACAACATATAAACACAGTTAGATGTTATCTTTGGTTTTCACAGTGATGGAGACAATCAGGAGTGTCTGTAGTGGATTAATTAGTTAAGTGATTGCAATCTGTGCCACATCGATCCATAACCAGTCTGGGAGCCATATTTCTGGGTTGAAGGTGATCATAGGTGATGATTACTGCAATGCTCTTATGGAAAAAAGGAGATTCCCAGAACAGACCAAGGTGTAGTTCATCAGATTTATTTACAAAGCTTTGGAGAGCAGTCCCAGCATCCACAGAACATGCAATTACAAGATTACACTGTTACCAGTGCTCTCATCCATGTGAAACCTTGACCTGCTCTAACTCTCTGGACCGGGCAAGTTAGTTTAACAGAATAATCTTCCTCTCCTTGCCCTCGGCCCCTCCCCCTCCATGTCTGAGCTGTCATCCAAGGGTTCGCTGCAGGCACGAAGGAGTGGAATCTGAGTCAAGGACTCTGCTGAAGACACGTCACCATATCAAATCAATATCATATCCATCAACCCTTGAGGATATCAAAAACAACCAGTTCTTTCTGTTCCTCACTGACTGGTCACAGTAAGAATGATTACATGGGACCATTTAGTCACAGTCAGTAAATAGAACCGAGTATAATGTCTAAATCTCCTTTGATTAAGTACAAACCGGATTCCAAAAAAGTTGGGACACTAAACAAATTGTGAATAAAAACTGAATGCAATGATGTGGAGGTGCCAACATCTAATATTTTATTCAGAATAGAACACAAATCACAGATCAAAAGTTTAAATTGAGAGAATGTATTATTTTAAGGGAAAAATCTGTTGTTTCCAAATTTCATGGCGTCAACAAATCCCAAAAAAGTTGGGACAAGTCCATTTTTTACCACCGTGTGGCATCCCCCCTTCTTCTTACAATACTCAGAAGACGTCTGGGGACAGAGGAGACCAGTTTCTCAAGTTTAGAAATAGGAATGCTCTCCCATTCATGTCTAAGACAGGCCTCTAACTGTTCAATCGTCTTGGGCCTTCTTTGTCGCACCTTCCTCTTTATGATGCGCCAAATGTTCTCTATAGGTGAAAGATCTGGACTGCAGGCTGGCCATTTCAGTACCCGGATCCTTCTCCTACATAGCCATGATGTTGTGATTGCTGCAGAATGTGGTCTGGCATTATCGTGTTGAAAAATGCAGGGTCTTCCCTGAAAGAGATGACATTTAGATGGGAGCATATGTTGTTCTAGAACCTGAACATAGTTCTCTGCATTAATGGTGCCTTTCCAGACATGCAAGCTGCCCATGCCACAAGCGCTCATGCAACCCCATACCATCAATGATGCAGGCTTCTGAACGGAGCGTTGATAACAACTTGGGCTATCCTTGTCTTTTCTGGTCCGGATGACATGGCGTCCCAGTGTTCCATAAAGAACTTCAAATCGTGACTCATCTGACCACAGAACAGTCTTCCATTTTGCCACACTCCATTTTAAATGACCCCTGGCCCAGTGCAAACGTCTGAGCTTGTGGAGCTTGCTTAGAAGTGGCTTCCTCTTTGCACTGTAGAGTTTCAGCTGGCAACGGCGGATGGCACGGTGGATTGTGTTCACTGACAATGCTTTCTGGAAGTATTCCTGAGCCCATTCTGTTATTTCCTTGACAGTGGCATTCCTGTTTGAGGTGCAGTGACGTTCCTTGACCCTTATGCACAGCGATTGTTCCAGATTCTCTGAATCTTTTGATGATGTTATGCATGGTTGATGATGATAACTTAAAAGTCTTTGCTATTTTACGCTGGGTAACACCATTCTGGTATTGCTGCACTATCTTTCTGCGCAACAATGGTGGAATTGGTGATCCTCTTACCATTTTGGCTTCTGAGAGACACTGACACTCTGAGAAGCTCTTTTTATACCCAATCATGTTGTCAATTGACCTAATTAGTGTTAATTGGTCTTTCAACTGTTCGTTATATGCTCAATTTCCTTTTTCCAGCCACTTATTGCTACTTGTCCCAACTTTTTTGGGATTTGTTGACACTGTGAAATTTTGAATCAACATATTTTCCCTTTAAAATGTTACATTTACTCAGATTAAACTTTTGATCTGTCATCTATGTTATATTACAACTAAAATATTGACATTTGCCATCTCCACATCATTGCATTCAGTTTTTATTCACAATTTGTTTAGTGTCCCAACTTTTTTGGAATCCGGTTTGTAGAAACAGATGACTCATGATGAATGCATGACATACACATTTGTCTCGGCATGCTTCTTTTTGGAATCAGTCAGACCTCCATTGCATGTTTACAACTGGTTCAAAATGCTGCTGCCTGATTTTTAACTGGTACAGGCAAAAGAGAGCACATTTACACCAGTTCTGGCCTCCCTTCACTGGATTCCGGTTCACTTTCAAATTCATTTAAAAATCCTTCTGTATGTTTTTTAAATCTCTGAACAGTTCTGCCCCTCTTATCTCGCTGATCTGCTGCAGCCATATGCAGCGCTCTCTGAGATCAGCAGACAAGATGCTTTTATTGGTTCCAGGCACTTGTTTTAAGCTCAGAGGTGACAGGGCCTTCTCTGTTGCAGGTCCAAAACTGTGGAATGAGTTACCACTACATGTCAGGCAGGCTTCCTCTCTCACTGTTTTTAAGTCTTGCTTAAAACCCCACTTTTATTCCCAGGCGTTTGACACTGGTGTGAGTTGATTTCAACTAATCTGTATTCTATAATGTTAATAATTTAGTTCTTATCTTTACATATTTGGATCAATGTAGTTTTTGCTGTTTCCTTTGCTTGTTTGTTTCTACTTGGCCTTGTTGCTGTTTTTGAGTGCTTTATAAATAAAGTGGTATGGTATGGCAGGTGCATGTGTCTATGTAGGAAAGCAGGTTAAACGGCGAGCATCCTCACTGGAGAATGTCTCAGGGTGATGCTTGGCCTTGCGTTGTGTTGTGTTAGTCACTTATTTCAGTGGGGAAGGGGCTCCACTCAAGGCGTTCTTCTGTATCCGTATGGAAATGAAGAAAACCGAGATGGGCACATAACAGGATGGCCTCTCTGACTGAAATATTTTAAACGTCTCTCCCGGATATTTTCTGGGGTTTTTTTTCTTTCTTTTTACTAATGAACTCATTGGCGGTTCGGACTTACAGATAAGTCTGAAGGCCGCTAGTTGAATAGCCCTGGTTTAGGAAATAAAAAGCTATCAAGGCAAATATTTTAATATTGCAATAAATACTTTAAGGTACGTAAAATTTGTAATCTATATAATCATTGTAGATAAGATAGATAAGATAATCCCTCAGTATGCAGAAGTCAAAGGTCCTTCTGATAATTTTATTAGATTTATTCTTTTTTTCCCGTCCTTTTTCCGACTGCTCTCTTCTTCAGGGGTCTAACTCGCCAGAAGATTTGACAATAGTTTTTAGGCTGGATGCTCTTTCTGATGCAACCACCGAGCTACCACAGCACACGTGTGGAGCAGAGAGCTGCTATCTAGGGCGCCTGGAGGAGCAGATGAGGGCTTAAGGGCCTTGCTCAAGTGCCTAGATTGGGGCAAATGAGGGTGGAGGCAGGTGTGAGTGCTTCACCTTTCCCACCCACATTTTGCTGTTGGTGTCAGGAGGACTCGAATTGGCGAACCCCAGATTTATTTATATTTATTGGTGATACAAAACTTTGTTGCTATTTTTGTTATGCACAAAGTGAATTAAACCAGACAACAAAACTGCAGTAAAACACAACATTTGCTTGTTCCCATTAATTCTGTTCAATTTATTTCTATAGCACCAAGTCACAACAGAAGTCAACTCAGGGCACTGAACAGAAACATTCATATACTGTATATAAAAAATAAGTTAATAACATTAATTATCTGAGGCGACAGTGGAAAGGAAAAACTTCCTTGTGAGGAAGAATCCTTTAGCAGAACCAGGTTCAGGACAAGCGGCCATCTGCTTCGACCGGCTGGGTTTGAGAGGAACAGATACACAATAGCAGGTCAAGAATCACATGCTAAAATAGAAATGGTATCAAATGAAAACTATTCAATTTTAACACTTCATTTAAGGAAATTAGGTCAATTTGTCCTCTAGTAGTCTAAGTCTATAGCAGCATAACAAGCCAACCCTAACTATAGGATTTATCAAAAAGGAAAGTCTTAATCCCAGTCTGAAAACTGTACAATGTGTCAGCCTCATGGACAGAAACTGGAAGTTGGTTCCACAAGAGAGGAGCCTGATAACTGAAAGATCTTCCTCCCATTCTGCTTTTAAAAACTCTAGGAACCGTGAGTAAACCTGCAGTCTGAGAGCGAAGTGCTCTGTTAGGAAAATACGGAACAATAAGATCTGTAATATAAGATGGAGCTAGGTTGTTAAGGGCTTTGTATGTTAGAAGTAAGATTTTGAATTCAATTCTGGATTTGACAGGGAGCCAATGGAGAGAAGCTAAAACTGGAGAGATATGATCTCTCCCAGTAACTCCAGTTAAGACTCGGGGAGCAGCATTTTGGATCAACTGAAGACTTATTATGCTGAAAGTGCTGTTGTGTTTTCAGGAGAGGATAGCGAAGGCTCACGGCTCCCAGTGTGGCTTCTGCACCCCGGGGATGGTGATGTCCATGTACGCCCTGCTGAGGAACAATCCACAACCAACCATTGAGGACATCACCCAGTCTCTGGCTGGTTTGTTTGATTCTGCTTCTTCAGTTTTGTCGTTGTCGTCGTTAATTCGTTGAGGTGTCATCTTTGACTGTCAAAGCTTTAAACTTTTTTCATCTTGTGGAAACCCAAGAAAATTACAGCTTTATGGCAAACATCTGGTTTAAATCCTACACTGTTCACAGTTCTTTACCTGACTGAACATTGTTGGATTATTACCTGGATTATTGAGCATGAACTTTGGTGTTTTGAACCACTTTGGCACGGTTATCTCAGACAGAGGAGTTACCAGGTAGAGGGTGGGCCCCGGAGGCCATCTTAGCACCAGCAAACTGTTTTATTTTCCACTACGGAGTGTGCTGTTTGTAGGAAATCAGTTTAGTTTGGTAGCTCCTCTGAACAAAGAAGTCCTTTGGATGAAGGACGAAACGTCTCAGCAAAAAAAGAAACCGTCCAGATGACCTGTGAACTTTTGTATTTTCAGTGTTTGGTTTTGCATTTCAGGAAATCTGTGCCGTTGCACTGGATACCGACCCATTGTTGACGGCTGCAGGACCTTCTGTCAGGTTCAACTTTCAGGATTAATTAACTTTTGCTGTTTTGAACTTAATGTGCTCGCAAAGCAGAAACGTTAACTGTTTTAAGGAGTAACGGTTCTTCTTTTTGTGTATGTGGCGATAAAAGAAACCAGTGAAATTCTTTCTGTTCATCCCAGCAGGAAGCAAACTGCTGCCAAGCCAATGGTGGAACAAACTGCTGCCTCAGTGCAGAGAACAGTACCAAAGAACCTGAAGAGGTGATCTCAGCTTTCATCCTTTCCTACACTTTGTCTTTTGTTCTTCTGTTTCAGTTCTTCCTCCATTTCACAGTTGTAGTTTTCATCATGCATGATCATTATTGCCTCCTTTCACCTCTCACCCACCCTTTTCTACATTCTTCCCACTGCCATGCCTTTTTTTAATTCCATAAATTGTGTTTTCATGCAGGAAAAACCTCAGCTGTTCGACAAGGACGAGTTTCTTCCACTGGACCCCACCCAGGAGCTGATCTTCCCTCCAGAACTGATTGTAGGTCTTCGGCTGCGTCAGCACGCAGCTAAATTTCCTTCTAACAATCTTATTCATGTAGTTTTTTTATGCAACAGTTGATGGCAGAGGCGTCAAACCCACAAAGACTCACTTTTTACGGGGAGAGGATGACTTGGGTGTCTCCCATCTCGCTTGAGGAGCTGGTCCAGCTCAGGACCAGACACCCGGGGGCTCCACTGGTCATTGGCAACACCAACATAGGTCTGCTGCCATCAGCTGTACATTATATTTACGCTTAAATAATTTTGGTCTTTTGGCTTCCAAACTTCTAAAACCCAAAATCTCAAAGTCGAGGTGATGATCTTTTTGTTTTGTGTTGAAGGTCCAGACATCAAATTTAAAGGTGCTCTACATCCACTGGTAATCTCTCCCAGCAGAGTCAAGGATCTGTTTGAGGTCTGTCAGACACCAGAGGGTGGGTACATCCCCTCCACATGATTGTACTCCGTTTCTTGTTTTCATACTAGTCTTTGACAAACATTTGAGCTTTTTTAACGTGAAAGTGCTGAACATTAATGTCACAAGGAACCCTTTTTCTTTTGGTGACCTTAAACTTTCACCATCTCTTTCTGTGAGCCCAGTTTTTTTATTTTTAAGAAATAAGTGTTTAAATGGAGTCTGTCTTGTTTCCACTTTCAGGGCTGTTTGTGATATTAGTTTTATATGAAATGTTCTCAGTTTCAAAGTGATAAAAATTACATTTAAGTAGCTCAGCCCTGAGGTCCCAGTTCCATAAACTCAGTTTTGTGGCTCTTACAACCAGGGCTTAATTTGTAAACCAATCAGTGCCAGAACACGAAGGAAGTGGGTGGGTGTGGGGGTCCTCCTCCAGAAAATTTTGAATAAAGTAGATGTGATTTCCTGCATTTTGGTGTATTTTAACGAATTGTTAAACATCTATGTTTACCTACATTTGTAAACACTCCGCTTCTGTCAAGCATCCTCTCCCTTAGTTGACGGTTCCGAGCCGACTCTTCTCCACTGAATTCACTGTCCGACTCCACATGTGAAACCTCCAGGTGCCTCCTCCGTCTGTTCATGGCGGCTGCCTGTGGGCTCCTGCCCCCATACGACTGCCTAGTTAGCTCGGCACTCACCCCAACACCGCTCCTTCCTGCTCCAATCTGGATTGCCGCTGCCTTCAGGTGCTTCAATTCTCGTTTGCCCTACTAAGGACAAAGAGAAACCTTTTTTTAATTAAAGTAAATTGGACTGTCTTTTTGACATTTTGATCGCTCGCTGTTATTTTGACCAATTTGCACCGTTGTTTTGATACGTAATGCCATTAATACGCGTCAAACGTTTTTCATATTTTTAATAAATCAAAATTTTATTCATGACCCATTTAAACTGTCGAACTGATTTGCCATTTAGTTGTTGAATTATACTTTTGAATTTTTTCATAAAATTGCTCAATGACTTGGACTTTTAGGGGCGGAGACGAAGGCGGACTAGTCGTCGGGAGCGCTGGGACATTTCCCGGTGGCCTGGCCTGCTTAGTGCCCGCTGAGGGACTGAACTAAATGCTCAGTTCGGTTTGCACGTAATTATTTAAAATAAACAAACCGCTCTTGCCCGGGCTTGCTCAAGTCTCACTGAGACTCTCTCGCCCTTCCCCTTTGAGTTTGTGTCTGTCACACAGACTGAGCAAAGCAGAGACAAACAGGTTGCATGCGCCCGCCCCCCGTGGACTCGCACTCGCGAGGGTTATATGTTTGCGTGCGGTGCGCTCATCTCTGTATGCAAACGGTAAATGGACTGTACTTATATAGCGCCTTTCTATCTAATCAAGATACTCAAAGCGCTTTACACTACAATCTGTGTCTTCATCTACCCATTCATACAGCACTCTACTAGCTCTCTACAAAGCTAATTGAACAAATCATTCTAAAGAGACTAATCAGTGCTTATCACATTCATACACCGATGGGACACACATCGGAGGTGATGAGGGGTTCAGTGTCTTGCCCATGGACACTTCGCATGTGACTGCTGGTGGTCCAACTCTTGCATTAGAGGACGATTGCTCTAACCACTCAGCCACAGCTGCCCAAAATGTCCATCGTTTCTCTAGTTTGGGTAATATAGTCCGTAGAATGGAGCGAGAGAGAAAGCCAAAGAGAAAAGTTGTAGCAGAGAGAGAGGATGAGAAAGAGAAAAGCCTTGGCCACTGATGCAGCAAAATGCAATAAAGTAGTTCGTTCAAGGGAGCAGGTAAGACAGAAACACGTGGTGAAAAGTGAAATCTCTGGCCATAACCTGTCAGCACAGCTAGCTTAATGAGGTTAGTTCCACTGGGAGAGACCTAAGTGGGCCAAAACTTAATAGAACAAATGTTTTAAGTTTTTACAAAGGATATTGCAAATTTTAGAATTTGGTTAACGAATAGGATCTGAAAAAAAGTTTATTGCTGAAATGTCCAGGAATTCAGATTTTGTGTACCCTTCATCCACTAATGAATTATCTGGCTGTAACTATCGTACTCACCACTGCACCCAGTATTCACTGGTTAACTGGTCATCATTAACTTCACGCAGACTCTCTCACTGGTACATTTTCATCTTTAAATCACTTCTTGGTCTGCTGCCTTCATACGTCTCCTCCTACATGTCTCTGTGTGAGTGCAGCTACAGCGTGCGCTCTCAGGACATTATTACCTGCAGTGTTCCCTCAGTGTGGACTGAACTTGGCAAAAGGGCCTTCTCCTACTCCGCTCCTGTTTCCTGGAATATCTTGCAAAAACATCTGAAGCTCTCGACCTTGACCTCTCTAAGTGGCTTCAAACATCTAAGTTCATGGCAAGAACCAATGCAGGCATCTTCCTGTTTTTAGTTTTCTAAACCGCCTTATAACCTAGCTGTTTTTCTCGCTACTTTTCCTTTTAATCACCATTTTATTTTCACTTGTTAAAAATAGATAAATAAATTTGTACGCATCTTTTATGATTGTCTATTGTTGTTGTCCACTGTTGTCATCACTCTTTGTTAAAATGCAGGTCTCTCTTGTAAATGAGTCCCCGAGGCTCACTGGGATTAACCTGTCTGAATAAAGGTTGAATGAATGAAATCTGAATATTAAAATCCTTGTATTATATTATTTTATTTAATCTTTATTCTACCATGTCCCGTTGAGATTAAGAACATATTTGTTGTTATACGAACATAGCCAATAGATATAAATAATCAATCAGTGAAAATGAGTTGATGGGAAATTATGATATGTAATTCAGACACGTGTTCCCCTGAGCATTTAGAGGGTGGTTGCAGTTTATGCTATTTCAAAAACTAAATAAAGTTTGGGGAAAAATGTAAAAGATGATAAAGGCCAGCAGCCAACCCCCAGTTATAAACAGGAAGTACCACATGTTCATCTGTATGAAGATAACTGCAGGTAAATCCTCGATTATTTGTCATAATTACAATGTACACTTAATGGTTGAATTTAAGGTTAATGCTTAAAGCTAGTTGCGTTTTGTTTTGTGTGTTTTGTATGTAGATATATGTTGCTACTTCTGGTTGCATAAGTTTAGTCTTTGTTTATGATCAGTTAAACGGATTTGGTACAAAGTGTTTAATAGGTTATGTAATATAAAATTTACACTCATATACTGAATTTCATTGTGACGTCTAGCCCCGTGTCATTTTGCGGCATGAAAACATCCATTGCAGTAACTATTTTAAGTTATTAGTAGCTTAGAATGTTTTATTGTATTTTTTTGCCTGTCTTCTTTGCCTTAATGTTGGCTGATAAGGCAGAAAGGCCTCACTAAACACTGTGAGCTTCACTACCTCCACCGTTACAGCTGTCTTTGTTAGTTTGTCCGAGGTTAACTCACCCTCGGTTACATTTCCTCACGGGCGGAGCGATCTTACCATTCATGTAAAATATTTGGTAATGTTCTTATAGAAACAATTCCTGATTGTTGTTCATACTGTGTTAATGCTACAGTTTGTCTCTTGACCCTACAACTGGCTAGAATGCATGAATGAAGCAGAGCGTGCTCTATTCACACAAGGAGAGCTGTTGGTCAGGCTACTTCTTGTTGTGCCATTAACTCTAAAATAACTATTGAATCAAGTGTTTACTTGTGTATGTAGCACAAAATGTTAAACAACCGTTAAATTTATTTATTTATTTTCATTTACCCTTTATTTATACAGGTAGTCTCATTGAGCCACGAGAACTCATTTTCAAGAGAGACCTGTTTTGGGGAGCAGATGGGGGTTAGGGGCCTTGCTCATGGGCCCAGAGTGGGGCAAATGCAGGTGGGGGCAGGTGTGGGTGCTTCACCTACCCCACCCACATTTTTGATGTCTGTACCGGGGCTTGAACCGGCGATCTTCCGATCACAGGCCCACCTTCTCTAACCTCTGCGCCACCACTCCCCCAACTCCCCCAAAATACACCAGAATGCAGGAAATGACATCTACTTTATTCAAAATTTTCTGGGGGAGAACCCACAGAACCCCCCCCCCCCCCCCAATATGCCCCACCCTCACCATATTACAAATGCTTCTGATGCCATTGGCCACCATGTTGCTAAACAACTACACATATAGCGTCATATGGTGTTCAAAGTGTGCTTAACTTAACTCAGTCTTAGTGGTTTGTGTTAATCAAATCTCAGGTGGTGGCCTGGGATGGCTTATTGTCCCAGTCCGCCCCTGGGCATAGATTTTATTTTCAACAGTAGAAATGGAAATGCTTACTTGAAGGGGCATCTCATATGTGATATTAAGAAGCTTGTAAGTGGCTGTTGTGTTTAAAATGAGTGTTTATGTAAATATTTTCAGTTGACATATCCAGTATAAGTTTTATTCATTCAAGGCAGTCATATTTGTTCATAACTTTATTATTAGTAAGCCTGAGAGTTACCGGATCCAAGCAAACAGTTACCGGAAAGCACCCTGTCAAAATAAGAGAGTTCCTGGATCCTATTCCAGCAAGATAGGCCTCAAATCAATCACTGCCTACAACCAAACATGTTCTTAAAGAGTAAAACATTGCAAACGTAATAGTAAATGAATGAGAAGACTTGTTTTCAGTCTTTTGTACAGCTTGGAGACATTTCTGTTCTCTTCATCTTTGCATTTTATCTGCTTCTTTTATTTTCACTCAGAATTTGCAGTTTTGTTGGTTCTGCCTAATAATTGCAGGTGTTTGGGTTGGAGCGGGCTGCAGTCTGACTGAGGTTCGCTTTCTGTTGGAGAAAATGGTTCCTCAGTTCCCAGAGGAGAAAACGGAGCTGTTCAGAGCCCTGATCCAGCAGCTGGGGAACCTGGGGAGCCAGCAGATCCGTAACGTCGCAGTGAGGATGATTCACTTCTTATTTTTCCTATCACTGTTTTCTCTGTTGTATTTCAATGTAAATTAATTATTTTTAATTTTTATTTTAGTTCTGACAATAAAACTCTCCACATTCTGGCTGGATAAAATGTATTTAAAGATGGGTGGGTGTGCGTCTCAAGTTGTTTTGTATTTTTAGTCTCTTGGAGGAAACATCGTGAGCGCATACCCCAACTCTGATCTAAACCCTGTTTTGGCTGCTGGGAGCTGCAAAGTCAGCGTTGTTTCCAGTGGTTCGTCCCATCCAATTTACTGTATTTAGTTTAATTTGATGAGTTGGCATAAAATTGACTTTATTATGTTTTAAATCCTGCAGAAGAAAAACGAGAAGTTCCTCTCAATCAGGCTTTCTTTGTCGGTTTTGGCAAAACCATCTTGAAGCCAGAGGAAGTAATTGTCTCAGTTTTTATTCCCTTTTCCAGAAAGGTGTGTAACTCTTCTCTAATAAACAGTGTTTGCACTTTTAAGCATACTTTGTCTTTGAGTGAATAACAGGTCTTCAGTTTGTCCTGTGAGATTATTCATGTAGTGCCTTGTTTGTCCTGCAGGGGGAGTTTGTTCGAGCTCTAAGACAGGCACCCAGGAAAGAAGCCTCTTTTGCCACAGTGACAACCGGGATGAGGGTGTATTTCTCCAAAGATTCCAGAATGGTTCAGGATGTCAGTATTTACTTTGGCGGAATGGGTCCGACCACCGTTCATGCCACCAAAACCTGCAAAGGCATCATGGGAAGGTCAAATGGTGTTAATTTGCTATTGGTTTCATTTTATCTTCATCCCACTTTCTCTGTGCTTCTTGCTCATTTCCATGTTTCCATCAGGCCGTGGGATGAAGAGACTCTCAGTCGGGCCTATGGCGTCCTCCTAGATGAGCTGGTCCTTCCTCCTTCAGCTCCTGGAGGGAAGGTTGACTTCCGTCGGTCGCTGACTCTCAGCCTGCTCTTCAAATTCAACTTAGACGTCCTGCAGAAACTCAAAGAAATGGTAAAACATCGAGATGAGTTCAGTTCTAAAATTTTATGTTTTGGAACGCAATTTAAAAAAAATCTGTTTGTGGGTTTTTTCTGACATTTTACAACACGTCTACTCTTATCTGACATGACCAATGTGTGGAAATCTGCTCCCAGCCCCTGATCCAGCAGCGTGTAGAACCTCCTTTAACAGCAAGAACTCTCAGTAGTGTTTGTTGTATCAGTCACATGGCTGTGGAGAAATTTTGACTCACTCTTCTTTCCAACATTGCTTCATTTCATTGAGGTTTAGTTGAAACTTTTCTTTAGTTACCCATGTCCCAGGAGAAATTTGATAGTCAGCTCATATCTGAGGCCAAACGGGGGAGTCAGATTCAGATAAGCCACAATTGTTGATTTTCTTCAGGCAGACTGTTTTTTTCTTGTCAGCCTTGAGTCCTGCTGCAACTTTCCCGATCCAAAATGGCCAGATTAGTGGGTATTTCACTCCACTGATCCGTGTTATAAGCCTTCCTCAAAGTCGATCCCAACATGCTGGCGAGCCCTAGAAGCCACAGGTGGCCTGTGATTCTCACAAATCGCCTCCATCTTACGGTTTAGCTCATAAATCAGCTGATTTTGAGTACTCATAGCATGAACCAAACCTTCACATAGACAGGGAAGCTTTGTTATGGTCAAACATGCTGCCGATGTCTTTTTCAAAAGTTGATAAAGCAGAGCCCCACTAATGCCAAACCCTGCTATCATAAATCCAAATAGATGAACATCTTCAGCGTCCTCCTGAGACAGAACTGAGAGACACATCAGCTGACAAACTCTCCACAGATCTCTGTACCCAGCAGCATGAGTCTCAGCCAGACAAGAGGGTTCTCCAGGACTATAAACTATAAAAAAGAACTAGTATACCAGGATCTAGAAGATATAGTGTGTGGTTGCCCCATCTGAGGTTGTCATTCAGGTGCACACCCAAGTACCTGTAACTGGAGACCACTTCCACCACAGATCCTCCTATGTACAGAGGGGGGTAGGTGTGTTTGTGGCTTCTGAAATCCACAATCATCTCGTTCGTCTTCACATTGATGTGAAGGATGTCCTTCCTGCACCAGCTCGCCAGGTGTTCCACTTCCTGCCTGTAGCTGGACTCATCATTGTTTGTGATGCATCCAACCACTGCTGTATCGTCTGCAAACTTCACAAAATGACAGCCTGGATGGGTAGGTGCGCAGTCATGTGAGCAGAGTGAACAGGAGGGGTCTCAATACACAGCCCTGAGGGGTTGAAATGAGGTTGACATTCTGGACTTTGACTGGACCATTTCTTCTTTTTTTTCCTTAGTCATTATCTTGTAGATTTGCTGCTGTGTTTGGGAACATTGTTCTGTTGCATCATGACCCATTGTGATCCAAACTTTAGCTGTCCTCACATTTGACTCTAGAACCATTTGATCTGCAGAGGAGTTTGCTGAGACATCTTAAATGTTTTCCACTTGTGAATAATATTGTCTCCATAGAATATTGAACTCAAAATAGTTTGGAAACAACAATGGGCAGCAACAGTTGCTTTAAACTAATTTCTGATGTCTTATACGAGTATTTAATTATCATCTGACTATATTTATTCATTCAACCTTTATTTATACATGTAGTATGACATATACTGAGATATATTCATACATTAAACGGGTTCTTCATTTTTCTGGACTGTGTAACATGTGTGCATTGAATTTAACAGAAATGTAACGAGAGACGTTATTTATCTTTGACCCATCAAAATGAATGCGGTCATTTATTTACAGAATCAAAGATTAACATCAAACATTTACATTAATTTGGCAAAATATGAAAACAACAACAGCATAATTAATCAGTTTTACAGGAAGTGAGAACAATACGGCGATTGTTTTCACTTTTCAGCAGAACAGCAGACATCAATTCACACGGCGGTGATTGATTTTCTAGCAGAAGGAGTGTTTAAGATGGAAAATTGAGATTTATCTTACAGAGAGATGTGTGAGGGAATTTATCTGTTTTAACCAGAACAGCACGCTCTTTGGAAATCAGCTTGTCCCAAACAGTACACTTTTGGGTGAAGGTCGACTTTACCTTTCTGAAGATAGATCAGGTCGGTGTGAAGTCCTACTTCCAGCCACTTTCAGCGTCTCCGTTGAGAACAGCTAAAATACCTCGAGAGTCGTGCGAGGTTATCCAAACAGAAGTTATAATTCCCAAAATCGTCTCTGGTTCAGCTTGTTTGGTTTAGCAGCATCCATGAATGCCTGCGTTTTGCATTCATGAACTCCCAAACGCTCTGCATTCTGGATTCCAAGAACTCTGAACTCTTCTGGAACTCTCTGTGAACTCTCTGTGAACTCTCTGTGAACTCTCTCGGAACTCTCTCGTTGAACTGGGAAGTTGCCACATTTAAACGGGCTATACTTCCGGTTCATTTGAGAGCTTTCTGATTCGTGGATGGACCAGAACAGAGGTGTGGTTTGTGATGTAAGGTGTTATGGAAAGTCAAGGATTGTTTAAGAACAGACAGAAAGATTGTTGGAGAAAACCAGTCTTAGTGGCGTCTCTACTCAGTATCTTGCTGTAAAAGTTAAACATGACATTTCTTTTCAGTAAACTTCTTAGTTGACCGAAACCTGAACTCTAACACACTTACAAACTTGCTCACTTTCAAAGCAGACGATCAAGAAATTGAATCAGTACTCTGTAATGTACTCTAACTTGATTTCACTTTGAATTGAGGAATAAAAATCATTACTACTGTTTAAGTAGATAAAAATGAGTAGTTCACCTCAACATGTAAACATTGTTTGAACTAACACAATTTGATTATCAAACATTTGTAAAATAGTAATGATCATAGAGAATTGTCTTTTCCACTTGATTAATTCAAGAAAGGAAGTCTCAGGATGGGTCAAACTGTATTTCTGGATTCAAATCAATGAAATGACAGTTTCTGTCCATCTGGTCAGTTTTGACATCAGGCTTAGTCCACTACATACAGGTTAGTCTCATTGAGTCACGGGGACTCATTTACAAGATTTATACACAGTCTAGTGAATTTTTATCAATTATTTTCTTTATTTTGACTTTTCATAATAATTATATTGTCAGATGTAAAACCTTATTTTTTACTTTCACTTCTTTCAGGTTTTTCTCTGTGGGATAAATCTAAGACCGTGTTGTTTTTCAGAGTGTGATCACAGATGAGCTTCCTGAAAAGTTGCTGCCTTTACCCAGAGATATCCATCCCAGTCTGCAGGAGTTCCAGGTCCAAACATTTCCCTCTTTGAGCATGCATCAGGATATTTCCCTCTTTGATTTGCAACAAACATTAAGAGGAACACGCTTGCATTGCCTTCATCAACCTTCCTGCTCTTCCTCAGCATGTGCCAAAGAACCAAAGTGATCAGGATCCAGTAGGTCGTCCCATGATGCATCGCTCTGCAATCAGCCATGCCACGGGCGAGGCCGTGTACTGCGACGACATCCCCAGGGTGGACGGCGAGCTCTTCCTCGTGCTCGTCACCAGCTCTCGAGCACACGCTAAGATCACGTAAGGAGAAAGTCCTGCTCTGTGAAGCTTCCTGTTATGCTACGGTTGAACGTTTGACCTTTTTGTCCTACAGTGGGCTGGACGTGAGTGAAGCCCTGCAGCTTCCTGGAGTTGTTGATGTCATCACAGCCAAAGATATTCCTGGGAAAAAAGCCCGCGCTATGTTTGGTTATGAGGAGGAGCTGCTCGCTATGAACGAGGTACTCACATAAATAATAAAAACATTAAAGAATAACTCAAAATAACTAAAAATTGTAAAGCTGGTGTCTGAAAACTTTGCTCAATTAAAGTCCCAGTAATCCTTGAAGGAATACAAAGTTAGTGTCAAACCTTATAAATGGCATTATGTAAAATCTCATGCAATTCAGTGAGATTCTGCGAGATGAGCTAATGCTCAGAGTATGTGTTGGGAATGACTATCAGCTACTACCACACCAAGTTTTAGCTTTATTTCTGTAAAACTGACAAATTTAGAGCCACAAGCTCCAACTTGGTTAACATGATTAAAATCTTTTGGTGGTTCATGAGATATTTTGGTACACAATTTGTCTGACTGTGGATTGGTGGAGTCCAAATTCTTTACAGATGGTTTTGTAACCTTTTCCAGCCTGAGGTCCTCAGAAATCTCCTTTGTTCCTTCCATGATACACTTCCATAAACATGTTGTGAAGTGCAGACTTCCATAGATCTCTGTTCTTCAGTGGTTAATTTGAGCCGGATCCTGCCGGAACAAGATCCGGGAACTCTCTCATTTTAACTCGTTGTGTTCCGGCAACTGTTTGCTCGGATCCGGCAATGCAAATCTCTGCCCCTAAAAGTCCAAAGTCATCGTGCATTTTTATTTTGATTATTTATGAAAAATACAACGAGAGGAGACGTCCTTAGCTTGGCGGACCCAGTCTGTGGAGTGGATGTTCCAGCCGCAGTACGCGCGGCGCACCAGCTCGATCACACGCTCCTTCCAAGGAGCAGGAGAAGAGTCTCTGGAGGAGGCATGGGGTGGGTTGAGGACAGAGAGACAGATGGTCACATTTATGCACGGAGACCTGTTTTTAATCAATTTAATCAAATGTTTAAAGATGTTTAACAACCTGTTAAAAGACACCAAAATGCAGGAAATGGCATTTCTTTGATTCCAAATTTTCTGGGGGAGGACCCCGTCCTACCCTCGCCGGACCGTCTGCTATTTTTGTTCCAGCACCAGTCGGTTTACACATTAAGCCCTGCTGTTCTTTAAATAAAACAGGGTTCAAATATGTAATATTAGATCATTTTCCTCAATAAATAAATGACCAAGTATAATATTGTAGTGAACTAAGCCTCAGTCTCATTTGTTTAACTGGGTTCTCTTTATCAGGACTTGTGTGAGAATCTGATGATGCTTTAGGTCATATTTATGCAGAAATATAGAAAATCCTAAAGGTTCACAAACTTTTAAGCATCACTGTATAGTACAGGAAATGAGTTGATTATCTCTGAAACAAGCTCAGATCTCGTGCTTCTCGTCTTCAGGTGTCGTGTGTTGGTCAGATGGTTTGTGCCGTGGTCGCTGACACAAAGTTGCACGCCAAACGAGGAGCAGCGGCCATAAAGATCAGCTACGAAGACCTGCCGGATCCTGTTTTCACCATTGAGGTTATTTTGTTTTTGCAACATTTCCTCTATCTGGTCTGTCTGTACATAGATAACCACAGCTGATCTCGCTCTTCATCCTTTCTTTTTATAAGGACGCTGTAGAGAAGTCGTCTTTCTTTGAGCCTTTGCGAATGATCGAGAGAGGAAACGTGACTGAAGCTTTGAAAACCGTTGATGGGGTTTATGAAGGTAAAGGTTTTTCACCGAGCCACCAAGAAACATCTTTGCTCTACAACTGCTTAACTTTTAATCCAATTCAATATGGCTGCCACAGCTAAGGAACCTTAGCAAACTCAGCCAGTTGTACAAATATTGAGCTACAGCTTGGCGTAGTAGTTGGAGAGGGTCATTCATAACACATACTCCAAGGGTTGCATGAGATTGTGTGATAACGTGACCTCACACATTAAGTTGTTTGTAACGTTCGACCAGAACGACAATAACACGATCAGGATAAGATGGTCTTAGTCTAAAACTCCAGCCTGAAAAGCATCAGATGATCATTTAATGGTTCTTGAATTGTTTCATGTCTGCTTCAGGAGAGATTAGGATCGGAGGCCAGGAGCATTTCTACATGGAGACTCAGAGCATGCTGGCTGTTCCTGTCGGAGAGGAGATGGAACTCAACGTCTACGTCTCCACTCAATGGCCGACCTTAATGCAGGTACACAGAGACCTTACGTTGTGCTAAAACTGAACTCGGAGCATAAACCAGATCAGAAGATGGCTTTATTTGTCCTTGCAGGTTGCGATCGCAGAGACGTTGGACATCCAGTACAACAGAGTCACTTGTCACGTCAAACGGCTGGGTGGTGCTTTTGGAGGCAAAGTCATTAAAACCTCCATCCTGGCCTCCATCACATCTGTGGCTGCCTGGAAGTAAGCCATGTTCATTCTATGAAAGTAATAAACAGTTTTCATTCAACATTTATTTATACAACAGGTTAATCCCATTGAACCTCGGGGATACATTTACAAGAGAGACCTGCATTTTTAACAGAGTGATGACAACAAAGACGATCATAAAAGATGCATACAGATTTTAAAAAATAAGTTAAAATAAAATGGCAACCAAAAGGACAATCAAAAGGAAATGTAGCGAAAAAACAGATAAGTCAGTATAGAAAACTAAAACAGGAACATGTCTGCATTGGTTCTTGCCAGGAACTTAACAGATGTTTAAAGCCACTTTGAGAGGTCATGGTTGAGAGCTTCAGATCTTTTTGTAAGATATTCCAGGAAACAGGAGCGGAGTAGAAGAAGGAGCTTTTGCCTAGTTCAGTCCTCACTGAGGGAACACTGCAGGTAATAATATCCTGAGAGCGCACGCTGTAGCTGCACTCACGCAGAGACATGTAGGAGGAGATGTATGAAGGCAGCAGACCAAGAAGTGATTTAAAGATGAAAATGTACCAGTGAGAGAGTCTACGTGAAGTTAATGATGTCCAGTTAACTAGAGAATACAGGGTGCAGTGGTGGGTACAGTAATCACAGCCAGTTATGAATCTTAGTGCACCATGATAGACAGCATCCAACATCTGCAGAATGCTTGTAGGGGCATTCATGTAAATAATGTCACCATATTCAGTGGAGGGAAGGAAAGTCACAGTTACAAGGCGTTTCCTAGCATTCAGAGTTAGACATGATCTATTTCTGAAAAAGAAACAGTTTAACTTTCAGTTTCCTTGCTAGGTTTTCCACGTGGTGCGTAAAAGAGAGATGTGAATCTACCAAGATACCCAAATATTTGTAGGAATCGACAAACTCATTAGGAACACAATTTGAGGATAAAATCAGAGGAAACACTACTGGGACCGACTTCCTGTTTGAAAAAAAGCATCCTTTTGGTTTTATCGGCGTTTAGGACAAGTTTGAGACGGAACAAATCTGAATGGATGATGGCAAAAACAGATTGCAAAAGCTGGAAAACCTTAGCAACTGTTTTGGCTCGACAATAAACAACTGTGTTATCAGCATAGAAATGTAAGAATGCATCAGGGATGCTCTGACCTACATTACCTATGTAGATTGTAAAGACTGTGGGTCCTAAGACTGAGCCTTGTGGTACACCATTGTTGACTGTTAAATAGCTGGAGGAAAAACCATTATGTTGAACACATTGCCTCTGATCTGAAAGATAGAGAATCAACCAGTGGTGTGAGTATAGGTTCCAAATGAAGGCTTGAAGGTGAAGCTAACTTACGCAAAAAATAAAAATAAAACATACAGATTCAAAGGTCCTTGTGGCATGGAGGGAAGGGGGAAACGACTGATTCAGTGATGACAAACTGGTTTAGGAGGAAAAAAACAAACGCATATTAAATGTTGACTACAGTCCTTCCAAATTACCCAAACAGATTTGTTTCTATGACATGAACTTGTAAAAAAAAAAAAAAAATTCTGCATAATAAAGTTGATCTAATTTTAAGGACCAATCGTGCTGTGCGCTGTGTCCTGGAGCGAGGTGAGGACATGTTGATCACAGGGGGCCGTCATCCTGTCCTCGGAAAATACAAGGTACAACAGATTTGTTTAATTTATCAAGGTATATTTGATTTTGTCTGTTAAAAGTCAATTAATCTAAATCCGTTCAGTTTTTGTTTATCAAGACTTTTCCCATAAATTTATTCAAAGATTAAAGGAGCAGTTTGCGGAAACTATTGCCATCTAGTGGTCAAATTGGTGATTGCAGGTATTTCCTTTTATGTGCTGAACACAGTAAAGGTCAAACTAAAAGTATGCAGGTTTAAAATCACCAACATCTACCCCCTGTTTGACAACAAACAAATTATGATTATGTATTTATCAGTAAGTTCCATGTTAAAAGTCAGTTTTTGTGTTATTGTGGAAATTAATCTCATTAGACTCTTAAATAAGGAGATGAGAGAACAATCTTTGTCTTTAAGTTTATTTATCTTTGCAAAGGAATTCAGTCAAAATACTGACATGAGCCAGCCCCTGAGTGAGCTGAGGAAGTCGCAGACTGCTCCGTATTTATAAACCCTCATTACACTTCTCATGTGTACCTCATGGAAAATACAGGAGAGCTCGGAGCTCTTTGAGATGCCTGACCTGGAAGTTGCTGATGTCTGAGCTGAAACCGTTCAGCAGAAGTTTCTTATACACAGAAAGACAAATGTTTTTTTTTTCTTCAGCAGTGTATAAATGTGTGTAATATGTTTCAAGCTGCGGTAAAGTAGTTTATACGTGAGAGACTGGATATTCGTTTGAACATCCAGCTGATGAAGATCAAAACTGGTTGTTTTACTGATCGATCCCGTTTGTTTCAGGTGGGTTTCATGAACGACGGACGAATCGTGGCTGCAGATTTCCAGTACTACGTCAACGCTGGCTGCGCTGTGGATGAATCTGTTCTGGTAGGTCAAAGAGGGAGTGATCCGGAAGAAAATTACAGCAAAATCACATAAATGTTCAACCAAAATTCTCAAAGTAAAAATTGGACATAGTGTAAAAATGTAAACAAAAGCATATTGTAATGATTTGCTCATAAACCTACATTTTATTCACACAATAAACATTACATAAAAATAAAAAAAGATGTTTTGAATTTGATGGCAGCAACACATCTGTAAAAATTTGGGAAGGGGCAACGAAAGGTTGTAAAATTAATTAGTATGAATAAGAAAAAGTTGGAAAAGCATTTTGCAGATAATGTCAGTAAGTGGACTTGGGTGGTGCAGAGGTTAGAGAAGGTGGGTTTGTGATCGGAAGGTCGCTGGTTCGACTCCACGTACCAACATCAAAATGTGTGTGGGAAAGGTCAAACCCCCACACCTGCCTCCACCCTCATTTGCCCCACTCTGGGCCCCTGAGCAAGGCCTTTAACCCCCACCATCTGCTCACCCGGGCGCCCTAGATGGCAGCTCTCTTCTCCACACAGAAGGCTATAGTAGCTCGGTGGTTTGTGGTTGTGTCATGAAAGGCATCTGGTGTAAAAACAATTGCCAAATCTTCGTGCGCGTTAGTTCGTTGTGGCGACTCCTGAAGAAGGGAGCAACCGACAAGGGAAAAACAAAAGGCCAGTAAGAGGACTGGGTATAAAAGGAGCATTTTAGAGAAGTAGATTTTTTTAGAAGTAAAGATGGGCAGATGCTCACAAGTCTGTGAAAAACTGTCTAAAAGTAAATGGACTGTACTTATATAACGCCTTTCTATCTGATCAAGGTGCTCAAAATGCTTTACAACACAATCTGTGTCCTCATTTACCCATTCATACAGCACTCTACTAGATCTTTACAAAGCTAATTGAACAAATCATTCTAAAGAGACTAATCAGAGCTTTATCACATTCATACACCGATGGGACACACATCGGAGGCTATGAGGGGTTCATTGTCTTGCCCAGGGACAATTTGGCATGTGACTGCTGGTGGATTCGAACCCCCAACTCTTGCATTGGAGGACGACTGCTTTAACCACTCAGCCACAGCCGCACTAGTAGTAGTGGAACAATTTCAGAATAATGTGCATCAGCAGAAATTTTTCATTCATTCTTTATTTATACACAAGGCTTAATTTGTAAACTGACTGATGCCGGAACAGCAGGCAAGCCGGGGTGGGGGGTGCGTGGGTCCTCTCACAGAAAATGTCGACTAACAGAGATGCCATTTCCTGCATTTTGCTGTATTTTAACAGGTTGTTATACATCACCATTGACCTGCATTTGTAAACACTTAACAAAATTACTATTTTGGAGAAGAACAGCAGGTTGTGTGTGAATAGAGCAGATCCGATTCTGTCAAGTGTCCTAAACCCCCCTCCTCCCTCCCCTCACTTCATGGTTCTGAGCTGAACTCTTCTCCACTGAATTCAGTCCTGGTTGTTTCTCCTGCTCCAATCTCGTGGCACCGTTTGAATCACCCGAAGGCTTCGATTCTCGGTTGTTGGAGCATCCATTCATCCATCCATCCATCCATTTTGACAAATTAGTGCCGTTTTGAAACATGACGTGTAATGTGAATAACCCATCAAACATTTCTCTTTTTGTATTTTTAATTAATTTTTTACAGTAAGCTTTTTTTATTTATTATGTCTGAAATGTAGAAGGAGTTCAGACACCTGCTGCTGTTGTGCTTGCGCTGGGTAGAGTTGTTTGGAGACGTTGTGCATAATGTCCACTGTGCATTTATTTATTCTGTTGAATAAATGATTGTTTCTGTTTCGGAGGGTCTGAGGAGGGGAGAGGGGGTGTTTTTCAGTGCACAGCCCTTCTGAGTAGGGACAATATTTGGAGAGTAGGAGGAGAGAAGGACTCCGCGCAGAACCTCCGTGTGTAAATGTGACCATCTGGAGCGTGTGAGCGAGCTGGTTCGCCGCACGTGCTGCGGCTGGAACATCCACTCTACATACTGTGTCCGCCGGGCTAAAGGCAACAGCTCCTCTCGTTGTATTTGTAATAAACAATCAAAATAAAAATGAGCGATGACTTTGTACCTTTAGGGGCGGAGTTGCCGGATCTGAACAAAGAATTGCCAGAACAGAACAAGTCAAAATGAGAGCGTTCCTGGATCTTGTTCCGGCAGAATCTGGCTCAAATTAACCACTGTTTATACAGGTTAAAGAGGGTGGGTCCTAAGACTGAGCCTTGTGGTACACCATTATTAACTGTTAAATAACCGTTATATAGATGTGTGAAGACTTTGAATATTCCATCATCTGCAGTTCATGATCATCAAAAGATTTCATGAATCTGGAGAAATCCTTGTGTTCAAAGGATAAGGTTGAAAGTCTACAATGGATGGCTGTCACCTTTGGGCTCTCAGGGGCCACTGCAATAAAGACGGGTCTCATTCTGTTTTGAACCTCACTGCATAGACTCAAAAGCACTTCCAGCAAATCATTGTCTGTAAACACAGTTTACTGTATCATCCAAAAATGCTGCGTAAACCTTTATCATGCAAAGAAGTCATGTGTGACGGATCCAAATTTAAAATCTGGTTTGGAAATCACAAATGCAATGTCTTACTTTCTAAAGTGTAAAGAGACCATTCAGCCTGTTAACAGGCACTATGTTCAAAAGCCTGCCTCTCTGATGGTATGCGGTGCATTAGTGCCTCTGGTATACAGTAGTCCCTCGTTTATCACTCAGCTTAATACTGGTATTTAAACATATTTACCATACGCAGATTTTTTTCAACTTACTTTTATTTAAATATGTACCAGTCTTGATTGACTGACTGCTTTAAAAATAAATCTGACTTGACCTCCTCTGCTGAGCTCACATGAGTGGGAGGAAGTGGGAAGAGCCCCTCCTGTTGTTACGTTTAATGTGTTCTGATGTGAGCTTAAAATGAGATCCCAGTATTTAAACACATATCTACCGTACACAGATGTCACACAGAAATAATAAAAAAAACCTTTTATTAAAATATGTAGACTTGACTGCTTAGACGACTTCTGCTCAGCAGAGCCCATGTCGTGATACAGGGGAGGGGTCACACAGCCTTCAACATAACCAAAAAAAAAAAAGTACAGGTAGTCGACCAAAAGTCGCTCTTTGCTATGTTCTTCATCCTGAGAACTAAAGTCATCTTCGAATCTCAGAAAAACATGATCACACACCGCCTCCATGTAGCCCTTGTCACTTTCCTTCATGCTGTTCGCATCATCCCCCAGAAGAGTGGGGAATGATGACAGAGTGGGTGGAGTTATGGGTAGGAAATCTGACACCCTGAGCGAGAGGCTCCAGATCTGATCTGATCACCTGAGGACATTCACTTTATGTTTACATGGACATAAGTAACCGGGTCAAACGGTCGTTCGGAATAAAAACGCGTCATGTTAACACCCCGTTCGAGTTATTTTTTGTTTATTCAGCGTGATCCGAAATAATTTGTGATCAGAACGAAACGGGTGGTTTACACCGATTCATAACCCAAACGGTGCACATGTAAACGCTTGATCCATTCGGTTTTTTCTGATCGTGAAAAACTGACTTGACTGCGCATGTGCGACTGTCATTTCTGCCTGGCTAATGCTAATAATATTAGCATGTCGAGGAAGTAAAAGTGGTTGGTGAGCAACACAACATTTCTACTAGAAACTTTGAAAGAGCTCAAAATGATCTGTATTACCTGTAGCTCAGTGCAGTAACGTCTCCACCGTCGTTAAAACCTGTCGCGGGTCCATTTTGGGCGCTCAGGTTTGTTTACGTTCATCCCGCAAGTAAATCGAAAGTAGAACTTCTTCTTCTGTGTTTTTTTAAGGAGAGTTTACCACTCTGCACATGTCAGTACTTCTGCTCGGAACAAAGCCCGCTGCATGTAAACGCTCGTCATGAACAGATTGTGCCCATGTAAACGATACACTTGGATTCATTAATCTGAAAACATTTCAATCCGGTGAAAAACATTTGCGCATGTAAACATGGCTTCTGTTGAACAAACACCTGCCCCTAAGAGGGGCGGGCGCTGGGTGACTACATGGGTCCCCAGCTCTGTCAAAAGAAAATGTTAGCTAGCTGCAGGAAGCTGCCGAGAGACGGCAGGAAGTTTGTCAAAATAAATTATTAATATTTATGAAAAAAATACATAAATTAGCCGCTCCTGCTTATAAACTGCGGGGTACAAAGTATAAGAAATAAGTAGTGGCTTATACACGGGCAATTATGATAATTGATTTTGATTTTTTTTTTCAGGTTTCTGAGAAGATTCTGCTTCATTTAGACAACACCTATAACATTCCCAACCTGAGAGGTCGCTCAGCCACCTGCAGGACCAACCTGCCCTCCAACACCGCCTTCAGGGGCTTCGGAGTGCCGCAGAGCCTCTTGGTGGTGGAGAACATGGTCAACGATGTGGCCATGGTTCTGGGACGCCCTGCGTACCAGGTTATACACCTCATGTTTCCATCTCATACGATATTCAGAGTTTTGTTTTCTAACGTTTAATAATCCTCACCAGATTAGAGAGATCAACATGTACAAGGGGCCATCAGTCACACACTACAAGTTCGAGTTCAGTCCGGAGAACCTGCTGCACTGCTGGGAGGAGTGTAAGCTCAGGTCCGAGTACAGCGTCCGCCTCAGAGCCGTCGACCAGTTCAACCAGCTGAACCGCTGGAAGAAGAGGGGGATGTCTATTATTCCCATCAAGCACGGCATCGCGTTCGCAGAGGGGTTTTTAAATCAGGTCTGTGGGGTTCTGTTCAGCTTTAAGGATCGACTTGTTTCAAACAATCATCAGAACACGGTTCCATCTGGTTCTTTTTGTGTTTGTAACAGGCTGCAGCTCTAGTCCACATTTATAAAGACGGCTCTGTTCTGGTCACTCATGGCGGGACGGAGATGGGTCAGGGGATCCACACCAAAATGCAGCAGGTACTGCTAAAAAACATGAACGATCTATAAATAACACCAAAATGAAAACAGGTGTGGGATGTTATTAATAACTCGTGTTTTTAATGCAAAGTAATAAAGCTTCAAGTTAATTTGTTTCAAGCAAATATGAACTTTTTTCAAGCTGCCAAGTCAAGTCAAGTTTATTTCTAAAGCAGCTGCTACCAAAGTGCTTCACAATTAGATCAAGGCAGTAATTAAAGAAAAATAATAATAATAACACAACGTAATTAAAATCATAAAAATAAAAACAATGAGAAACAATGAAATACTAAATCAAATTACACCATGTTAAATGTCAGAGAATACAGGTGTATTTTAGAAGAGATTTAAAAGCAGGAAGTGACGTGGCCTGTCTAATGTTGGGGGTTGATTGTTCCAAAGTTTTCTTATTTTTTTAATATACCCTTTATTTATACAGATAGTCTCATTAAGTCACAAGAAGTCATTTTCAAGAGAGACCTGTGTTTGGGAGCAAATGATGGGGGTTAAGGGCCTTGCTCAGGGGCTTTTTAGAGGAAAATTAGTCTCTTTAACCCCAAAATGTGAATCCTTATCTATTTAAAAGAACCATTTTTATTAAACCCACAGAGGCTAAATAAGCACAAATTCAATTGTGATTTTAGTATATTTTATTATAAAAATGAAGCGGGAAGGGATCATTTTGATGAATAATTTTATTCTGAAGGGACACCACTCTCAAAGCTTTGAGATAAAAAGTCTGAACGTCAGTCTTAGCAAATGTTATTGTTTAATTACCTCAAATTAAAGTGAGTTCTTTTGCATGAAAAAATCAGATGCCATAAAGAAAACACACACGCTTCAGTATACATTTTTTTAATGTTTATTTAGCTATATATGAGCAACTAACTGTTGGAAATGATTGCTTACATTTAAATGATGGCTTTGTTTAACAACCGGAGTTTATTGAAATTAACTTGACCTTTAAAATACTTGTTAGCAGAAATTAACAGGTAAAATGGAATTATTCGATGTGATTACCCAAACCAAAATGAGATGGAATAAAATTAATTGTAATTTTCTGAAACTTTCAGCAGGGCAAATTAATTATGCAAATTTAACCAAAAAGGAGACGTTTTGTTTACACATCCAATGGTTAAATTTTGGTCTTAAATTTAAGGGAAAATAATTACTGAACTGAGTTAATACTAATTTGGATGAAATCTAAACTGACGGACACCAGGCATCACATCCCAGAGTAAGCTTTCTCCTACTGGGAGTAGTCTTCAAATGGCTGCCGTGTAGGTACCAGATGTGGGACTCTCTCTTTCTCTGCTTAGATGGTCTGTGACGTGACAGTGGCTGTTTCTTTCACATCCCTGGACATCGATGGCAAGGCGAGGAGTCTGGTCACTGGTTTTGAGTGGTCAGCCTTCAAATGGCGCACTTCTTCGGGAGTTCTGGAAGGAATTTCTTTGAATACAGACCAGCTCTTTCTGTTATCATCCTGAGATTTAAATGATCATTGATCAGAATGGTGCAGAGAAGGGAGGAGGACTAGGTTCAATCTTGGTACAGGGTGTTACCGGAACTTTCTTGGGGTTCTGTTAAAACTCAAAACGTCCATTTTGGGTTCACAGAAAGGGCTCTCAGATATTATCAGATTTATTGGGCATTTGGCTGTTTTTGAAACAGTAAAAGTCTCTTTGGGACATTGTCCAGACTGGAGGGTTGCTGAGAAAGGGTTTAACTGTCCCCAGGTCTGAGACTGGAGAGGAATGTCTCAGTTGTTGTGAAAGGAAGACTGTTTTTTTTTTTTATTTGGGGGGACACCTTCACAGAATGAACTCACTCAGTCCCAATTATTAGAAAATAAAAATATGGCATAACACCGAGGGTAGATGCATGTATACCTCTACAAAAATATAATAATCTGTGATAACTATGAATATTGTTATATATGCACACTAAGACTACTGAAATGAAATAAAAACCTCAAGTAAAATAACTGAAAGTAAAGGTCCAATTAATTGTTAAGTTGCTGAAACTTTAAAGGCAGATTTAGGACTGGTTCTAGATGCTTGTTTATTTATATCTGGTTTGTGAAGGAGTTAATATTTCTAGGCTGAACTATGTTTGGACACCGTGATCACTAGAGAAGCATTGAAAAGCTTTCTCCTACCAGGATGCACTGGCCAGTTGAGTCCAGGGCAGGTGCACTGATGATCCGAGTTAACTTGGAGATTGATGCTTTCCCCAAGTGGACTGATGGTGTTTAGGAAAGGCAGATTGTCCACCTCTTCTGCTTCTGGCTCTGTAGTAAACTGGGTTTTCAGCAGGACGCTGAAGTGATTTCAGCCCAGTTCTGGAAAACAGTTGTGGGCCCCAACTGGTTCTGAACGTCCTTTATCTTGGTTCTGTGCAGAAAATCAGGTTGGAACTCATCAGCGACTATCAGGATCTTTACGGTTGGCTACTTTGCTGAAAACTTGGCTGATTTGAAAGTTAAAATAAAATTCCAACTTTTAGAAGTTAGAAATTCTTCATGCTTCATCTTGCTTCTCCGTCTTTTCAGAACTCTGAAAACGAAGCTCAACTCTCTGTGAGAGTAACACATCATTGGTCCACCCACGAGCGAAAGCGATGTGCCTGTTAACTTCTAGTCCAATCAGAGGTCATAAGGTGGTTCTGACTCTTGGTCTTTGTTTTTCTAAAGAGACATCTAATTTAATATAAAATACATATTTCTGCCTTGAACGCTTCATTCTAAAAGGGAAATAAGACAAGTATATTATCTTTAAGATTACTCAAAGCACACTCTTTTCATGAACATTAACATGAGAATGAGATAGGGATGTGCGATATGGCATAAAATTCATATCACGATATGTATTGTGAAGGGTGGCGATAATGATATATATCACAATATGTTTTTGGTATAAAACTAGCAATAGGAATTTTTTTTTAAATCATAGGGTGTCCTTTTGCCATCATTTATTTTGAAAATGCTATACCACAAAATAATATCAATTAAGAAAATTCCACCACTAGGTCCAGAGAGTTTTTAAATAATAAACAAATCAAGTATTAGGCTTCTTTCTTGTAGTGCAAATGTAATTTTAGCCATATGTTTTAAACAAAAGAATATGTTGTTAACTCTTAACAGTTTCCAGTATTCTCACTTAAGAAATGAACAGCAGCAGAGCAGCAAGTGCACGCTGAAAACGCTTAACTCTCCAACCCTCTAGTGGGCGTCTCCTTCCGCTTTAAGGAGCTGACACAAAATGGTGACCAGTTTCCTCTGTGGCTTTGACCAGAGGGTCTCGCAGTAAAATCACACAACACAGCATTCTTTTACAGATCAGAGAACAGGTTTCTCTAAAGCTGAACAATGCTTACTTTAACTTTCGACGGAAAAAAAACAAACTTTTGATGGAACACAGCGTTATGTGCATGCGTCCGAATATGGCAACACTACTACACTTCATTACAGCGGCTCTGCAGACATTGCACGTTGCTGTCTTGCGGTGTTTAGTGTAAAATACTTCCACACAGCGGACATGTTACGATGAAAAGTTGGTTAGCTGTTAGCAACAGTGCTGCTCAGTGCTCAGCCCTCAGCAGAGCCGTATAGAAAGAGTATTTACTCATGTTTTAGCTGGCTGAAAACGATGAAATGAATTTCCTGAATGTGAGGTGGGTCTTATTACTCTGGGTTCATGAAACACAGTTCCGTTCAGGAAATCCATTCCATAGTTTGAAGCCAACGTGCAGATCAGCTGGCAGGGAATCACATGTGGAGACGTATCAGCAGACACAGACATGTATCATGGAGCAGAAAAATCTGATACGTAAATCATGCTGGTATCGGAGGCCGATACCAATACCGGATCGACTTGGCCCCATCCCTAGTGACAGCCCTGAGAGTCATGCATCTGCTAGGAACAATGTCAGCGGCTCACGTCGTCGTACTGCTAGGATTGCTGAATATGAAACGGCTGCAAAGATAGCTCATTCGTCTGCATCTCAATCTCACACATCACAAGCACTGCATGGTTACCATTCCCCCATAGGTAGGGGCGGACCTGAGTCACTGGGGAGACCATCAGATCCTGTCGGAAGGGATTCCCCTGGGTAAAGTGACGGCATTCACTTCCATGTTCACAGACGCATCCCTCTCCAGATGAGGGGGGATGTGTCGGTCCCAGACGGTGGGAGAGAGGTGGCCAGCCCACATGTCCCTCCACATAAACGTGTTGGAACTTTTATAGTGGGGAAAGTGATCAGTCATTTTGTCCCACTACTACGGGGTCATCACATGATGGTTCACACAGACAACAGAACCACGGCGGCTTACATAAATCACCAAAGGGTTGTTTACTCAGCTTAGCTGTTGGACGTGGTCAGAGAATTGCTCTGTTGGTCATGCACATACAGTATCTGCGCTCTATCAGAAAGTCTACATCCCAGGCGTGCTAAACAGAGGCGCAGATATTATGTCCAGAGAGGACCCTGAGGACAAAGATTGGAGCCTTCATCTGGATCTGATCTTTCAGATTTGGAGCTAATTTGGGAGAGTGGAAGTCTGATGGCCACTCGAGAAAATGCCCAGTGCAAACTGTTTTTCTCTCTGAACTCGTGGGATGCACCACCGCTGGGGGTGAATGCACTTGCACACAAACCATGGCCTACGAAGCTACTTTATGTTTTTCCTCCTACTCCACTTATAGCGCAGCTGTTGGAGTGGGTTCGAGAGGAATGGTTGAGGGTAATCCTGATCGCCCCAGAATGCACGAGCGCTCTGTGGTTCATGTCTCTACGACAGCTGACGGGCCAGCCGTGGAAGCTACCGTGACGAGAGGATGCCCTCTTACTGGTGGGAGGAGCAATCAGGAGCTCCCCCAATGAGAGGTCAGCGCCTCTGGGCCTGACCGCTGAATGGGACTGTTTAGAGAAAATTGGTCTCTCTCAGGATGTGGTGTGCACAATCCAGGGTGCATGTGCAGCCTCCAGTATGGCCTGTTACACATCTTAGTGGACAGCTTTTCAGCGATGGTGCCTGGAGAAGGAAGTGGACCCGATCTCATGCCACTTAAGCTGCATATTGTCCTTCCTGCAGCTGGACAGAAATTTGGCTTTCAGCACAATTAAAATGTATGCTGTAGCCATTTCTTCCTGCCATGATGGTTTTAACAATAGGATGGTTTTTAATCATCCTCTGAAAAAAGGTTTTCTGAAGGGCATGCACAGACATAGACTTAAGGCTCATTCCACCAGAGGGATTTCAACTTCCACAGCGCTGCACAGAGGTGTGTCTGTACAGGACATTTGTTCTGCGGCTTCCTGGTCGTCACCGACTCTTTTCATTTGCTTTTACCTGCATGATGTCTCCAAATTTTCTCTGACACACTTGGTTCTCAGAGTCCTATCTGAGTGACGTCACAGCTGTTCTCACTCAATCTTCTCAACCCTGCTCATTCCTCTTATTAGCAGGTGTTTTTATGTTTGTCCAATCAAGCAGGGGAACTTCCTTTCTATATTGAAGCCCCCGTTCCGCTTTTGTTGCCACTTATGTGAATAATGCTGAATCCTCAGCTTCAGACCGGCACAGAGGTTAGCCTGTCACCAATGCACACCAAGCACATGGATCAGCGGTGCAAACTTATGCTTGAATAGAGATTCAGGGTGATTGTATATAATATATTGTACATAACTTTGCTTTATCCACTTTAGCATAAAATAAACATCAGAAAAAGTTCTCAAAGTGCAAGATTTCATATTTGATGTCACATAAATAAAAGTATTTGTAAATTTACATTATTCCAAACTGACCAATCGGCTGCTTTTGTTAAAACTTGTCTTTTTTTGCTGAACAGTTTATGTTCTTGTTTGCTGTCAGGTTACGAGCCGGGAACTTGGCATCCCAACCACGAAGATCTACATCAGCGAAACCAGCACTGGCACGGTTCCCAACTCGTGTCTTTCGGGTGCTTCCTTCGGCACCGACGCCAACGGCATGGCGGTCAAGGTGAAAACGCATCTCCGTGGTTACTCCTGGTTTAAAGTGAAGCCATCATTAATGTGTCCTTCCTTCAACCAGAACGCCTGTGAGATTCTGTACCAGCGACTGGAGCCGATCAGACTTAAAAACCCCAAAGGATCATGGGAGAGTTGGGTAGGATAAGAAAGCTAACGTTGAACATTTTGTGTTTTTTAACTACACTTCAGTAAACATGTTTTTTTACTCGCATGGCAGGTCCAAGAAGCCTTTTTGGATAAAATCAGTTTATCAGCCACTGGATTCTTCAGGTTCGACTAAACTACCGGTACTTGTTTGGATCTTTAATGATTGAAGCAACAGCTGACGTGTGTTTGTACTCTTCCTCAGAGGTAAGGACCTCTACATGGACTGGGACAAGATGGAGGGCCAGCCGTACTTCTACTTCACATATGGAGTGTGTTGTTCTGAGGTGGAGCTGGACTGCCTCACGGGAGACTACAGGGTCTGGACTCTAGTGTTGCACCGTTCTTTAACTAGAACACGAGTCCAGCTGGTTATAAACAGAGGAACATTTCTGTTCTGCTTCTTACAGACGGTTAGAACTGACATTGTGTTCGACATAGGCAGAAGTCTGAACCCGTCTGTGGACATTGGTCAGGTAGGAACTTTTTTATTTATTTAACAGCGACATTAAAAGTGCAACTGAAAACCTAACTACACAGAAATGTAACACACACCTATAAACCATTAAAAGCTCAGCACAAAAGAGATACCTAGAACAACATAGCTCAAAATATGAAGGCACCTAAAAAATGTTTTTGTTTAGCAGATTTGAAAGTGCACCGTGTATCATTTCAAAGTTCAAGGTTCCTTATTGTCATTCGTATCATATGTGGTCAACATGAGATGGAACGAATTTGTGTATTCAAGGTCCAAGTTACATCCAAAAATAGCAAAAATATCAAGTATAAAAAGAAACAATATATAAGGATCTAAGATATACACTAAGACAGAGGTTCCTAACCCTGTTCCTTGAGGAACACCATCCTCCTGCATGTTTTACGTAAGTTGTTTCTCTGCTCTGACACACCTGATTTTAATTAATGGATGATTAACAGGCTTCTGCAGAACATGGAGTAATTAAATCACTGGATCAAGTGTGTTGGAACAGGGAAACAACTAAAACATGCAGGATGGTGTTCCTCAAGGACCAGAGTTGGGAACCACTGCATTAAGATATACGCTAAATGAATGCTAAACAATACGCCAAAAGATCTCAAATATAGCCCTATACACTTCTAGCTAGTTATGGAGAACAAAATTCTTCTTTTAGTTCTTGAAAATTATTGTCTTTAATAATAAAAAAAAAAAAATCATATCTAACCACAAGTGATCAAAACACAATAGATTCTTTCCATCCATCCATTATCTTCCACTTGTTCTGGAGTTGGACAGCGTGGACTGGAGGCCCAAACAAACCCAAAGTAGTAATAAAGTAAAGTAAAGTTTTAGAACCTCCTTTAGCAGCAAAAATCTCAGTAACAATTCTTATAGGACTTAAGCAGTTGTTTAAAAGGTTGTGGAAGAACTTTGGCCCTGTCTCTTTTCTATTGTTGCTTCAGTTCATTGAAGTTTGCAGACATTGGCTCTATTAAGTCCAGCCACAGCATCTCAAGCAATTTGAGGTTCTGGTCTTTGACTGGACCGTTGCAGCATCCTGATTCTTTTTTTCCCCACTCTTTTAAGTTAAGTATACGTGCTGTGTTGTCATTTCTGCATTTAACCCATCACACACGAGATACACCCAGGTGGAGCAGTGGGCAGCTGTTCTGTTGTAGATTAGCTGCTGTGTTTAGGGTCATTATCTGGTTCAGCTGCTTCCACCGCAACCCGACTTTGGAATAAGCGGAAGATAATGGATGGATGGATCTCTCCTCAAAGCTAAAGCTATTTTTTACATCATTCATTTTCTTTGATAATATTACGGGTTATACATTGACATTTTCAACACTGTTGTTAATATCCACAATTGTCAATAAAGGTTGCATGCAAGGTGACTTTAACAAACCGTTTTTGTGTGTTCAATTCATGAAGGGGATTACAGCATGGTAACAAACTTGTGGTTTTGATCAGGGATTGGTCCATTCATTATTTTAATTTTTGACCTCTCTTTTATACAGTACTATATGTACTGTATACTCCTACACTCTTAAGTTATTGTGGGTAAAGTGTTCTCCAGGGCTCCATTCTAGGACAACTTGTATTTGTTTTTTATGTTTGTAATTTTTAGGAGTATATCTCAATTTCAAATGTAAACTTTTATGCTGATGATAAGTCACATTCTGTTCTGCACCCATACCTTATCAGGGTCTCTGTTAGCTACAGAAGGTTTATTATACTTTCCAGCATACCTTTGATAATTGTTCTGAAAGCCAACAAAATAAATCCTGACATCTTAATCAGATCACACAGATCATCTGTTTTCTAAATGTTCTTGGTTAATTGTAGCTGATCTTGGTAAAATAAATAACTAAATAAATAATATTCATGCTGATGTGAGGAACTGGCTTCAATGACATTTTTCATTTTCTTTTTTCTTCTCTCTAACCTTTTTCTCTCTCAGATTGAAGGAGCTTTCACACAGGGTTTGGGTCTCTACACTTTGGAGGAGTTGAAGTTCTCTCCCTCTGGGTTCTTGTACACTCGAGGTCCGTCTCAGTACAAGATCCCAGCAGTCTGCGACATGCCTCTTCAATTCAACGTCTACCTGCTGCCAGACTCTGACAATCCTCACGCCATTTACTCTTCAAAGGTCGGCATCATCAGACAAACTCTCATTGATGGCTTGTTTGGGTGCATGACTTCAATATGTTCTTCGTGACTGTCTCCTCAGGGAATCGGAGAACCTGCCCTTTTTCTGGGCAGCTCAGTGTTTTTCGCCATCAAAGACGCTGTGGCGGCGGCTCGCTCAGATTCTGGTCTCGCTGGGCCATTTTCTCTTGACAGCCCAGCAACTCCTGAGAAAGCATGCCTGGCTTGTGCCTCTCCGTTCATTCAGAAGGTGGTATATCACCCCATAAAGATAGCGGGAGTCAATTTTTCTGTCTAATTTTCTTTAGATTCTGGTAAACTGAAATATTTAAACTTGTAAAGCTGATATTAATTTGCTAATTCTGCTGACTGAGCCAAACAATTTTATGTATAAACTCATAGGTGGTTCAAACTCTGATTTTTCTGTGTACATTTGAATTAGTCAGATATTTAAAATCTTTAGTTTGACTTCATTTGTTAACCGTAACATGATTTCCCTGACCGTTTAATATAAATTATAACCTGCCCAGAAAATTGAGACAAAAATATTCATAGTTCTTCCTTGTTTAAACAAATTGTTATATAAAAAAAAAACATAATTTGCCATTCATGTCTTCTTATTGTCTGTTTGCTTTTCCAGATTCCAGCCAGTAGATCAGGATCATTCAAACCATGGGCCTTAAACATCTAAAATCAAATCAACTAAAGCAGCTGTTAACTAACCATAATCAACTAATGCACTTATTTTAACACAACACTCTGATAAACAATGATACAAGATGCTATTTTATCCTCAGTCATGAAGCAGGAATAAATCACTTCTTAACATTGAATATGTAGATTATATACTTAACTCCCTGATTCTTACAACAAATTAATTGAACTGAAAACCATGAGTGTTTGTTAGTTGCTGCCCTCTATAACCATGGTATTGCTTTTATTAATATAAGCTGATATGCATACAGTATATTTACATTTTACACATTCAAACACTGTAGCAAACTGTTTTCTGGTGACAAAGTTCAGTACTCTGTGTTTGTGACTCATTAAACCATGAGAAGTCAAATTCCGGTAAATTGTTTATTGTAACTTTCACCATTTTCTTTGTCCAGTAGGCAGCCATTTTGAAATTTGAGGTGAGGGCTGGGGAAGAAGCTCCAACTTAACAAGCTAAAATTCTGACTTTCGGGACGAATCTAGTAATAATAATAACATTTAAAAAAGGTCAGAATTTCACTTTTTAGAGTTCAAATAAAACAGCAAAAATAGACTTATGTATTTGGATATTGCTTTCGAACAGGAAGCTGGTCCTAGCTGTCCTTCCTTCTATTTTATCTTTAAATGGTGCTCCTATTGATTTTGTCGATTCCTGTAAATATTTGGTATCTTGGTCGATTCACATCTCTCTTTTAAGCTTCACGTGGAAATATTGGTAAGGAAGCTGGATTTCTTTTTCAGAAATAGATCCTGTCTAACTGTGAATGCTAGGAAACACCTTGTATCTGTGACTTTCCTTCCATCCATTGATTACGGTGACATTATTTACATGAACGCTCCTACAAGCACCCTGCAGATGTTGGATGCTGTCTATCACGGTGCACTAGAATCAGAAGAATCAGAATAAACTTTATTGGCATTGCACCGAGATACAACACGAATATGTACGTACAGTCGTCCGAAGATGGGCGGAGTGCACGAAGCTGCGGCTAAAATAATTAGCGCGGCCTTCTTATTCTTATCCAGAATAATATTTTGCTTAGATAAGAAAAGGAAAGAAAACACGAGGAGAGACGATATAAAAAAAGATCTCGCACACCGTGTCCTGGACAGGGCACAATCTGAGGCATCAAAAACACCTACCACAGCAAAGCAACATAAACAGACGTTATACATTTACATATAGGTGGTGAAAGCATTGAATTTTTAAGGGAAAGTCGTAGCATAGTCCAGAGCCCCCCCTCAGCCATTGTCCAGATAAGAGGTGACGTTCATCTTCAGCTCAGTTGAGGTTCTGTTACATGTCCACGGCCTTGGGGAAGGGAGGGGTGAGGAAACAGTCAAAGCATCTTTGTTGTTTTCCAAACATTCCAGGAGGAGTTGAGATAAGTCCGGCATCAAGGCCACAGTTTGGGTCAGGCAGAACTCGTGAATTGTTGTTTCTGCCTTTAAAGTCTCGCTGGTACATATTCTCTGATGGAAACTCCAAAACAGCCGAATTGATCCTTTACTCCAAAAGTCGAGCTCACAGCTTCTCCAGATTATTCCCACCATTCATGAGTGCTGCCAGGGAGATCACAGTCCTGATAACAGCTGCTCCAAATCCCTGTCACAGCTCCACATTCAGTCCGAGCACTGTCAAGCTTCAACACCTCCACACGAATTTGTAGACAACCAGATTCCACCAACCCAAACAGTAGACTCTAGTCGTCATCGTGAATCCAATTTGTTTCCTTCGAGGTAAGAGAGTCCTCCTTACCCTGACTCCTGTCGGGAGAAGTTGATCGATTTTGTTGAGAGACCAGCTGATCCTTCCAATTAAGAGGTATGCAGGAAAAAAAAGAGAGGCTTTTTTAAGGGTTCACAGGACAAAAGAGCGCAGCAGGGAAGCGGGTGGGGGGGGGGGGGGGGGGAGAAGGAAAGCACGTCTGGTTTCACCGTAGAGTAGCAAGAAAAAAAAAAATTCATAACTAAGATTCATAACTGACTGTAACTACCGTACCCACCACTGCACCCTGTATTCACTGGTTAACTGGTCATCATTAACTTCACGCAGACTCTCACTGGTACATTTTCATCTTTAAATCACTTCTTGGTCTGCTGCCTTCATACATCTCCTCCTACATGTCTCTGCGTGAGTGCAGCTACAGCGTGCGCTCTCAGGACATTATTACCTGCAGTGTTCCCTCAGTGCGGACTGAACTAGGCAAATGGACCTTCTCCTCCTCCGCTCCTGTTTCCTGGAATATCTTACAAAAAGATCTGAAGCTCTCGACCTTGACCTCTCGAAGTGGCTTCAAACATCTAAGTTTGTGGGAAAAACCAATGCAGACATGTTCCTGTTTTTAAGTTTTCTACACCACCTTATAATCTCGCTGTTTTGTTTTTTTCCAGCTTTTTTTCCTTTTGACTGTCCTTTTGGTTGTCATTTTATTTCAATTTGTAAACAAAACAAAAATTCAATTTGTATGCCTCTTTTATGATTGTCTATTTTTGTCGCTGTTGTCCATTGTTGTCATCATTCTTTGTTGAAATCAGGTCCCTCTTGTAAAGAGGCTCAATGGGATTAACCTGTCTAAATAAAGGTTGAATGAAGGTTATAAATATGCAGTGTTGTCTCATTTCCCTAGCATTTACAGAGCTTCTGGAGCTTTGAGGGGCTAACTTGTATTGTACCTCATTTCTCTCCCTCAGGGAACATTGGTTATATCCATAACCCCCAGTTCCCTTTCAGTCAGTACACTCGGTACAACACAGTAGTATGGGGATCTACCATCATGCCCCGAAAATGCATATGCAGAAAAAACTTTGACAACAAAGCCCTGACAAGTGGGAGGATGCTCATCTCTTCTGTGCTGAAACAACAGCTTAAGTGATGTCACGGGTTGTTATGTCCAAGGTGTAGAATTTTACGAATGTATGCGATGCCCAGTTGGCGGCAAAGCGTATGTCTGCCACTGGGATTCCTTTAAACAATGCCCATGAAGTGGTCATACCTCTGGATGAGTGTGCATGCACACTGCTGGATGCATGTTTACCCTTACTGACAGAAGCTCAAGAAATAGCCTCTACAACCCAGTCAGGGGTACACATAGGTACACATGTGCAACAAAAATCAGGAATGCATAGTATCACCTGTGTTACCACACACCTTTGCATACGTGACCATCAAATTATCAATTAGACCATTAGACCCTTTCACACGTCATCACTTTGATCTGGTTTTAAACTGTACTTTACATAAAAGCATGTAACATAATTTAAATAAATGATTTTTTTCCCTCAGTAGCCTTTAATTGTTGACTTTGACTTCAGCTTCCTCTTGTGTCTGATTTTTTAATTTCTCTAACTTTCTTATGTTGGTAATAAAACTTTTAAATTGTTTATATTCGGGTAATTACAGTCACGAGGACTGGATAGGAACTTTAAATGTCCCCATTAAGACACACAGTAACCCTCGGGTACCATACCATACCATACCAATTTATTTATATAGCACTTTAAACAGTGACAAAACACACCAAAGTGCTGTACAGGGACAAACAGAACAAGTACACAGCAACAGATTACATAACAGGACACCAAAAACGTAGAAACCAACAAAAACAGTAATGGATAACAACAACAACTGCAACATGACCAACACAGTGTGATGCACACAGACTCAACACAGATCACACAGAGCAGAAAGCCAGGGAATAGAAGTGTGTTTTTAAGCGAGATTTAAAAACTGTGAGGGGGGGGGGGGGGGGGCTGTCTAACGAGCAGAGGTAACTCATTCCAAAGTCTTGGGCCTGCTACAGAGAAGGCCCTGTCAGCTCTGCGCTTGAGACGGGTTCCTGGGACTGTTAGGAGCAACTGGTCTGCTGATCTGAGAGAACATGGTGGGACATACGGCTGGAGCAGATCAGTAAGATAGGAGGGGGCAGAGCTGTTTAGTGATTTATAGACATACAAGATTTTGAATTTGATTCGAAGGTGAACCGGAAGCCAGTGTAGGGAGGCCAAAACAGGAGTAATGTGCTCTCTTTTGCTTGTGCTGGTCAAAAACCGGGCTGCTGCATTTTGGACCAGTTGAAGTCTAGCTATGGAGGTCTGACTGATACCAAAAAGGAGTGAGTTGCAATAGTCAAGCCTGGATGTAATGAATGCATGAATTACTGTCTCCAGGTTATTTTTGGACAATATGGGCTTCAGCTTAGACAGTCGCCTCAGCTGGAAAAAGCAGGATTTAACAATCATATTTACATGATTGTTGAGTTTCAGAGAAGGGTCAAGTATCACTCCTAGATTAGTGACTCTTTGTTTCACTAACGGTGACAGAACGGATAGGTCGATGCAGTGGTTGGTGATTGTGTCATTGGGAGGAAACAGCATAACTTCAGATTTCTTCTCGTTGAAACTCAAGAAATTTGAAGCCATCCAATCTCTGATGTCAGCCAGGCAGTCCAGTAACGGTTGAATAGAGCGAGTACCGTTGAGTCTGAGGGGGAAGTAGATTTGGCAGTCGTCGGCGTAGAAATGAAAAGTTATGTTATGTTTCCTGAAAATAGCACCTAGTGGCAGCAGGTATAAAGAAAATAAAAGAGGACCAAGGATGGAACCTTGCGGTACCCCCCATTTAAGCGCTGCCGAGGCTGAACTAAAATCTTTGATGGAGACACAAAAGGACCTGTCAGCGAGGTAAGATCTAAACCATTCGAGGGCTGACCCAGTGATGCCCACCCACTGCTCTAACCTCGCAATGAGGATCTCGTGGTCGATTGTATCAAAGGCAGATGTGAGGTCCAGTAAGAGAAGGAGCACAGAGGTAGCATTTTATATAAGATTCTGCCAAACTGTAAATGATTAACGGTAAAACAGCAACACAGCAGACAACTTCTGCTTATTTTTTTTTTT